TTGCCTAGTGTAGGTGTGCCTTCCTTAGATTCCCCTGCTGCGTCAGGCGTAGGATCTCCTGCTTTGTTTAGCCTCGGTGCTTCCGCCGCTTCTCCGCCGCCAGACGCCACTGCTGCGCTTTCCTTCACCTTGGACTCTGGCGCTTCCCAGTGTTTCTTCCGCGACTCCACTACGCTAACGCCGCTTCCTGTTCGTGCTGCAATTTCTCTTGCTGACCCCTCTGGCGGTCCGGTAGTCGCCCGCAGTTCCACCACCCTTCCCTGTCCGGCGGTTCCTTCGAGCTCTCTCACAAGTCTGCATATCCCCTCGTTCTCCAAGAACCTAGTTGGTGTCGGCTGCCTCCAGGACCTTAGCGTCACCACTACGTTCCCTAGTCACGAACGGTACGCTGTCTATACCGAGGCCGCCACTCGTCCCCTTACCATGTTCCCCCGGGACCCGGTGTCCGGATTGTTCACATTGGAAACTATAACCCCCCCGGCTGGGACCTCCCCTCAGGTGGCTGCGTCGACCCAGGTTGCTGCTGCCTGCTCCTGTCGGTCACTCACCCACCCGAATCTCCTGTGGCACCACCGTCTAGGTCACCCTGCGCTCCCGCGTCTGCGTCACATGTCACAGCACGGTCTCGTCCTAGGCCTCCCTGGGCCGTTCTCTGAGTTTCCCTCCTCCCCTGCCCCACCTTGCACGCCTTGTGTCGAGGGCCGGCTTCGCCCTGCTCCTCACTCCTCCTCGTTTCCCCCTACCACCGCACCTCTACAGACTCTGCACATGGACGTCTGGGGCCCCGCCCCCGTCCATGGGCCGCGTCGAGAGTGCTACTTCCTAGTGCTTTTCGACAACTACACGCGCTACACCACTGTGTTCCCCTTGGAGCGGAAGGCCGACGTGCCTGACGTTCTTATCCCGTGGCTTGCGCTGCACGTGTCCGTCGCGGTCTCCCTGTCTTGCGCCTCCACTCCGACCGTGGTGGCGAGTTTGCCTCTGGTGTCCTTGGTCGTTTCTGTCGTGCGGAGGGCATCACCTAGACGTTCACCTTGCCGGACTCCCCGCAGCAGAATGGGGTTGCTGAGCGATGCATCGGTTTGGTCATGCAGGTGGCTCGCACCTCCATGATCCATGCCGGCGCACCCCATTTTCTGTGGTCGTTCGCCGTTCGCTACGCCGCTCACCAGCTTAACCTGTGGCCGCACCCCCAGCAGCCTCAGGTTTCGCCGACCCTCCTTTGGTCTGGGTCACCTGGTGACGCGTCTGCGTTCCAAGTCTTGGGCTGTCTTGCTCACGTTTGTGCCTCTGGCACGGAGAAGCTCACTGCCCGCACCCTTCCCTGTGTCTTCCTCGGCTTCCCCCTTGACGCGTCTGACTGGCACTTCTACCACCCGTCGTTTCACAGGTTCTTTCACTCCCGTGACGTCACCTTTGACGAGTCCGTCTCCTTCTTCCGCCGGTTCCCCCACCGAGGTCCCCCGGTTACCCCCCCCCCTGTTCCTAGTCACCCCTTCCCCGGTCGTCGCCACCCCTCCTCCTCCCCCTCCCCGTCCTGCCCCCTCTGGTGTGTCCCACGTCACCCCACTTACGTCGGTTGTACCGGTTGAGGAGTTTACTGACTCTGGTAGTCCTGCGTCGCAGTCCTCGCCGCCTGCCCCTTCTCAGGTGTCCCCTCCTCCGCCGCCTCTGCAGACGCAGTCGCCACCGCTGTCGCAGCCGTCGTCACCGCCGCCGCCGTCGCCGCAGCCGTCGTTGCGACTGCCACCGCCGCAGCCATCGCCGCAGCAGTTGGTTGCCTCTGGGGGTGCTGGAGTTGGGGTGGGTACTAGTCGTGGGACTCCTGTCGTGGCTTGTCCCGGCGGGCCTGGGGGTGGTACCGGTGCTCAAGGGGTTCTAAGCTCTGGGGGTGTTTCTTATGAGGGTGCTGGTGTGGAGTGTTCTGGAGGTAGCCGCCCGGCAGCTTGCGGTCCCGGTGTCGGCGTCACACCGCCGTCACAGCAGTCCCTGCCGGTGTCCGCTCTTCGCCTGCTCGGCCTTCCGTCCCCTGACCCCGTGCCCGTGCCTCCTCCTCCTCCTGTCTCCGGCCCTGTGTTCCCTCCTCCGGACGCGTCTCCGGCCCGTTTCCCCCCTCGTTCCCCTCCTGTGTCCCCTCCTCTGTCTCCTGACCCGACTCCCCCGTCTCACGTCTGGTCTCGCCGTCCCTCCCGTGCTCGACCTGTCTCCCCTGTCTCGCGCTCTCACCCTATGTTGCTTCGTTCCCACGCGTCTCGTCCTCCCCTTCTCCCGTCGCCCCTTCCGTCGTCCCTTGTCGTTGCTTCCCCCCCTCTGTCTGACTACCTGCGTGCCGCTCGTCCTCTTGTTCCTCGGGTCCTTGCCTCTCTCGTTACCGACTCAACTGTTCCGGTTTCGAGCCTTGACGCCCTTGTCGCTGCGGTCGCTGACTTTGCCTCCACCCGCCGCCTTGACTACACCACCGCTCTGGTCTCTGACCCTGCTTGTCCTCCGTCTGTCGGGGGTGCTCCTGCCCTTGGCAGTGACGTCCTAGAGGTCCGCCAGTACAAGCTTGCTTTCCTGTCCAAGGCTGCTCCCCATCTCTGTTCCATGCTTCTAGTCCCTGAGGGTGACTCGGGGCCCTGGGCCTCTCAGTGGATAGTTGCCATGGAGCAGGAGATGGCATCTTGGAGATCCACCGGCATCTACGTCAACGCAGTTCCTCCACCTGGGGTGAACGTATTCGATGGCCGCTGGCTCTTCAAGGTGAAGCGCCCCCCTAGAGAGCCGCCTGTATTCAAGGCACGCTACGTGGCTAGAGGTTTCAGTCAGCGTGAGGGGGTGGACTTCTTCCAAACCTTTGCTCCGACCCCGAAGATGACTACTCTTCGGGTGCTACTACACGTAGCAGCGCAGCGTGACTACGAGCTTCACTCCCTCAACTTCTCCACTGCGTTTCTTCAGGGCAGTCTACACGAGCAGCTCTACCTGCGTCGCCCTCAGGGCTTCACTGGTACCTTCCCTCCTATGACCTAGTGGCTCCTCCGGAGCCCCGTCTACGGCCTGCGGCAGGCTCCCCGTGAGTGGCACGACACGCTGCGTGCTACGCTTGCTGACCTGCAGTTCTTTCCGTCCTCTGCAGACCCCTCGCTCTTCGTTCGTGCTGGCCAGACTCCGTTCTACATTATTGTTTACGTAGACGACCTGGTCTTCGCCACGGCAGACAGGGACGCACTGGCCTCCGTGAAGGCAGAGCTGCTGGAGAGACACACCTGCACTGACCTTGGAGAACTGCGCCACGACCTTGGCTTGCAGATCTCCAGGGACAGAGCAGCCCGCACCATCACTTTGACTCAGTCACACTTGGTGCGCCAGGTCCTTCAGAGGTTTGGCCTTCAGTTCTCCTCCGCACAGCCTACTCCTCTGCCTCTAGACCACAGGCTCTCCGCTCCAGTCCCTGAGGAGTCAGCAGAGCCCAGTGGTCCTTACGCAGAGCTGGTGGGTTGCCTCATGTACCTGATGACTTGCACTCGCCCAGATCTCGCATACCCTTTCAGCATCCTAGCTCGCTTTGTGGCTACAGGCAAACACCGACCTCAGCAATGGTCTGCCGCTAAGAGGGTTTTGCGTTACCTTGCAAGTACATCGGGCATGGGGTTAGTACTAGGAGGACGTAGGCCAGTGGTCCTTACTGGACACACAGACGCTTCTTGGGCAGACGACGCCGAGACCCTCAGGTCCTCACAGGGCTACTGCTTTAGCCTTGGTTCAGGTGCCGTCTCGTGGAGAGCTACCCGCTCCTCGTCTGTTGCCCAGTCCAGCTGTGAGGCCGAGTTCTACGCTGGTGCCATGGCGGCACAGGAGCTCCGCTGGCTGACCTTCTTGCTCACTGACTTAGGTGAGCGGCCTAGCTCTGCCCTGGTCCTGTACGCTGACAACAGGGCCATGATCCTCCTGTATCAGGAGCCTCGACTCGAGGGCAGAGCAAAGCATATTCAGCTGCGGTACTTCCTCCTGCGTGAGTTGCAGCAGCGTCGCCAGGCGCGCGTAGTACACTTGGCCTCCGGTGCTAACACAGCTGATATCTTTACGAAGGCGCTTGCGCCTAAAGATCATCAGCGGCACTATGTACAGCTGGTTCTCGTTCATGTAGCCTCTCACTTGCTAGGTCCTTGACTTTGTACTGTCCTTTATATCTATATTTTACCTTGACTGGCCTTGTGGCCTCTCCCAGTGGCTGGACTAGTAGTGCCGCCCTGGGCTTGCTCTTGCGCCTAAAGATCATCAGCGGCACTGTGTACAGCTTGGTCTGGTTCCTGTAGTCGCTCACTTACTCGGGTCTTGACTTTGTACTGTCCTATATATATGTGTACACTCAGACTGGACTTGTGTCCTCTTACAGTGGTTGGACTAGTAGTGCCGCCCTGTACTTGTTCTTGTCTTATCTGTACTCCTTTTGACTGGACTTTAGACCCTTGTCTCAGAGGCTGGACTAGTAGTGCCGCCCTGAGCTGCTTCTTCCCTTGTTAGGCACTGCCCCTATATAGTCTAGGGGGTGTGTCAAATGTAACTTAGGTTGTAACTATAGACTACTGGATTGTGCCTTAGAGGGTACAACACCCTAGTCTATAAATCCTTGTACACACACATTCTAGTTCAATCAATTTCTTTCTGATAATTATAACCTAGAGGGATGTACTCTCTAAGGCACAACCCTATATGGTCTACAACATCACACACAAATGTGTTTGACAGTAGTGTCGCCCCGGGTTACTCTTGTTTCGTTTGTACTCTTGCTGACTGGTCTTCGGACCCTTGCCTCAGAGGTTGGACTAATAGTGCCATCCTGAGTTGCCCAGCACTGCCCTTCATCTAGCCAACACCTATGGTACTTTAGGCTAGATATGTGCGTACTCTTAGAGAGTACAACCCCCCCATTGCACAAAACCACCATGTTTCTCTCATTCTAGTCAATTTGTTGCTCTGAGATGGAGACCAGCAAAAGCCAAGCCAAGAATCGGCCTAATGTTGAAGGGGCTTGATTCACATTCAATTTAAACGCAGCACAGTAACATGGTGATCTCATTGCAAGATGCATACGTTCAGCAACAAAAAAAAAAATTTGTTGGGATGTATTGCTAAGTTCTTGTCATGAGGACAGCACAGCAGAAGACACGACACGGCTGTATCTCTCGCTGACAAGTGGAGCGGATCAAGAAGGTTCCGTCTCTGGCTCAGTTTCATTCTCAGTATCCGTGCCTCCCAAGCACGCCAACTCACTCTCCTCTGCCGAGTCACTTTCTAGCCTCAAAAAGGTGGGTGATGCTGGGCCCCACATCCTCAGCCGTTCCGGCCAGTTTCTGCAAAATAGGAGGGAAAAGGAGAAGTGAAAGAGAGTGAAGGACGACACGAGGGAATGACTTGCTCGCCATATCCAGAGGACTCCCACAGAATTCTTGTTTGTTTTGTTTTTTTTCGCACAAGGGGATGCGCAGCTGATAGTGCCAATGAGTGCGAGACTTACTGCATGAGTTTCTCCCGTAGTGTGCGTCGCACAGCTGAGTTGAAGCCGTACGCTATGGAGTTGAAGAGACCCTGGAGGGGGAATACGAGTGTGATCCACAGGGCAGAAGGGCAGGCATACCATGGGAGGCATGCACGCACATTTGAGTACGGTCGGCCTAGATTCTATTGCGATGGTACCTCGTCATATCGAGCATCAATACACACACAGAGATGGAGCTCAGAACACGTGACAGGCAGGGTAGAGAGGGCAGCGCCACAGCGCACCATGAGAGCAGCAGTGCCTATGTGCAGGCAGTAGAGGATGAAGAGGGGGCGGTGGGGCTCCAGGAGGTTGTGGATCTTGTTGATCGTGCCGCAAGTCCACGACGCGATGAGGATGAGAGGGTAGTACCCCCACCGATTCATGGCCTGCAAGCAACAGGTGCGTGCACATCAGATGGGAGAAGCACAGAGTGCTCACTGCTGCTGCAGCTGCTGCAGGTGCTGCTGATGTGATACAAGAGACTTCATCCGGTTCTAGCAAGGGCCTGAAGAAGAACGGAATGGTGAGGAGAGGCGGTGAAATGGTGAAAGTTTGATAGCCCCGAGGGTGATGATGAAGGGAGACTGTGCGGCAGTGGCTTACACTTGAGACTTTGGAGCTTGCCGGCCCTTGCATTTGCTTTTGCCTGTCAGCCATGTTGGCTGCCATCTGCCATCAGGAGATAAGCACATGCAACACGCAAACGCACACGCACTGACATGGGGGACTCGTTTACTCGTCCCCTCCCCTGTAGCACAATCTCCGCGGTTGCACGCACGGATAGTGACATGCTGCGCTTGCTGCAAAAAATGATGAAAAGAGCACTGGTGGATGGAAAGATGCCAGGGGGGGAGGCGCATGAAGTGCGCCCGTGTCGCACTACTCTTTTGGCATGTTTACCCGTGTGGCATTAGAGAGCATGCGGATGACTTGGAAGTATATGACGCCGTTGAAGAGAATGGCGGACCACAGCGGCACGTAGAAGGTCAGGAAGCGCAGCACCTGCACGCCACGGCCCAGGCCAGTGACGCCAATACAAGAACGAGCCATGGGGGACGAGGGAGGATGGGGGATGGAAGGAAAATGGGGGATGGATGGGAGATGGGGGATGGAAGGAAGATGGGTCAAGAGACGTTTATCAAATGGGTGGTGAAGGGGTGTGGGTCATGGACAAGGGACGGGTGATGGATGAGAGATAGGTGAAGAAAGGCGCAGAAGTGGAACGAATGGTAGTGCACAGACAGAGGGGGAGGTGAGATGGCACCAGAGACAAGGGAGGCGCCCAACAAACGGGGAATAGATACGGAAAAGCATCAGTCCTCTGCTTTAACAAAGACCACTCCAATGCCGGGGAGACAAACCAGGAGACTCGCCCCGCTTGTGCCGTCTTTCCCTCCTCAAACGCCCCCCCCCCCCTCCCCCCCCTTCTCCCCCTCACCTTGCCAGTGACAGTTTCATTCTGCACCCAGCACCACGCCCCTGCAGGCCCATAGTCGCTGCCCACGGACGGAATGAGCGTCATGAGCGCCGCTGTGCCCCACACGTACACGTGGAAGTACGGGCCCAGGCCCTCCACGTCAGCCTTGTGCCGCACGACAGTGCGGTGGAGGGTGTATGCGATGGTGGTGGTCCAGAGGAATGAGGCCACCCAGAAGAATTGGGTCGCGTAGCCCTGCATGTAGCACAGAGGGCCCTCGCCCGGGTTGCTGCGCGGGAGGAGAGGGGTGGATGGTGGGGATGGGGAGAGGAGGGTGTGGCGATGAGTGGGGAGGTTTAGGTAAGGACTTTGAGAGGACTTTGCGCGGCATTTGAGAGGAATTTGTGAAGATGAGAGGAGTGTGAGGGGAATTTGTGAACCTGCATAGCATGCTTACCCGAGTAGGTTGAAGAGGCTGCAGAGCATGTCCTGGGGGAGAGAAGGGGCGTGGGAGGGATGGCACACACGTGGTAGTGGTTCTCACGGCCCTGCTGATAGGTCATAATAATGATGACGGGCGTGAGAAGCTGATGATAGTGATGATGGCTTGTGGTGTGTGATGACAACAACCAGTCAGCCTGATGCTTGCCTCTCACACTCTTAACTCTCTGCACTCCCCTCTCCTCGTCCCGCTTCTCACCGACAAGGAGAGGTAGAAGATGAGCTTGAAGGAGAATTTCCGGAGGTCTTTAAAGCCCAGGTAGCAGAGGACTATGAACCCCGAGCCGAGGAAGGAGAAGGCGGACGCGACGACATTGATGAGCGTCAGCGTGCGCGTCTGCTCCGCGGTTAGTCCCTCAATCATGGCGCCGGGTGATGCAGGCACTTAATCTTGTCCTACCGCCGCTGCTGCTGCTGCTGCTGCCGCGGGGAGACCAAGCACACGCTTACTGCTACTGTCAGTGCGTGAGGTAAGGGGTCGGCGGGAGACGAGTCGAAGAGAGGAAACAAGAAGATATAGTAAAAGAAGCGGTGAGTAAGAGAAGGCCAGTACTAACGCGAATTCAGCAATTCTGCATTTTGCGTAGCTGACTATCCATCATATGCTCCCCTGATGAGTCCAGTAGCCCACAGCCGAGGGGGGATTCGACAGCCAGATTGAGGAATGATGGTGCTTTTGCGAAAGAAAACTGTCATTCGGCGAGGTATCGTCTACGGCAAGTAAACTATGGCTGCTGTCAGCTACGGCTATTGCTCTGACCGACAAGTAAGTTTCACCCGAGGCGAAAGGCGAAAAGCGAGAATGTGAAAAGGATTTCTTCGTCGCGGACCGAGGTTCTTCTCAGAGCGGATTGATTTCGCCAAACGTGCTGCTTGACAGCTCTCAAGCTCAAGAATGGTCAGCCGAGATTCAGCCAGTGTCGTGAATGCTGAGGCGAGGAAGCAAGATTGGTTGTCAGCCTACCCGAATGGTGGAGGGAACAGAAGTTCAGGTGAGAAGGCATGGGTGTAGCGGAAGGGTTACCTGGAGCTGATAAAGGGTTACAGCTGCTCGCTTAATTAGCAAGCATACCACATAGGATCCCTCAACATTATGCAAGAAGCACAAAATCACTAGAGAATAGCATCACATCACTAAAGATAGTATATGAATTCCACAAAGCATTCAGTAAGAAAGTATTGCACAGCCACATTCGTTTTCAAAATAACTAAGGTCTAATCTCAACTCAAACCCAACATGCTAGATTATATAGCAGCACCTTGAAAGCTCAAGGCGTCATACATGGTTGCATGAGTATGTATGTACCCTATATCAATGATACCCTATGTTAGGTACCGTGTTAGTTATTCGTGTTGGCAAAATCACATCAGGCAGTGCGCATTCGGAGAATCAGAACCAGGGATGCCATGTGGGGTCCATCATGCAGAGGTTTTCTGGTTTGAGCGCTGCTTCCACCAGCTCCATGGCCCCCTGCTGCACCGACCGCAGCTCAGGCACGTCGCTCTGCACCACCGCATACAACAGAGGGGGAGGCCATGGGGGTGGGCGATAGGGGGAGGTGGGGAGGGGGGGTGTTAAGAAGGGAGGAGGGGAGAGGGGGAGGGTGGGGTGTTAAGAAGGGAGGAGGGGAGAGGGGGAGGGTGGGGTGTTAAGAAGGGAGGAGGGGAGGGGGGGAGGGGAGTGGCAGGGGAAAGGATGGGATGCAATGCAAGGGTTGGGAGAGGGGTGGGAGAAAGTTGGGAGGGGTGGAAGGAAGGAAGCGAGAGGCAAAAGCACAAATATGATACCACCCAAGGAGTCCTAGGAAAGGGCGAGCTGCCAGAGCAAGAATGTGACCTGGCTCCAATCCACACGCAGCAAGCAAGCAAACCTCCACTCCTCCCACCTGCAGAATCTCGCTTGCAGCAGCGGCAGCAGCAGCAATGGCGCCCACGTAGCTCTGTGGCGCCACGCGCTGCAGCCTGCGCCACACGCTCTCCACATTAGCTGCCACTTTAGCCTTGAGGTCCGCAGTTGCTATGCTGCCGCTGTTGCTGGCTGCCCCAGGCGGGCCCAGCGAGGGCGGCCTGCGCCAGGACCAGGAGATGAGCTCGTCCCGGAAGAACATGGCAAAGTGGTGCCGCATGTCGTGCCGCTGGGGGAAAAAGGGGGGGTTGAGGTGGGGGGGAGGAGGAAGGGGCGGGGGAAGGGGTAGCACAGGGGGGTCAGGGGAAGGGGAGGGATGGGGAAAGGATGGGGGGAAACGAGGCAGGGACAGGTGGAGATATCCCGAATGAAGGAGGTGGAGATAAAACGAGGGGTGGGGAAAGGATGTAAGGACAAGCCGCGGGCTAGTTGGTAGTGTTGAGGGGTGGTGGCAGTGGTGAGGTACCTTGGGAGCGAGGATGGCGTGGGCTGCGGCACAGAGAGCGGACATGAAGATGCCGAGCGTGCCAAAGGGCGTGAAGAAGGTGTGCAGGTTGCGAGTCAGCCGGAAGGGCACCGGCTCCTGGCACTCCACCATGCCATTGTGGTCGTACGCTGGTCACAGGAGCACAGGCGGGAGCAAGGGAGGAAGAAGCACATTGTGGAGAGGCATTAGTCAGGAGAGGCACACAGTGAAGGGCACCGGCTCCAGACACTCCACCATGCCGTTGTGGTCGTATGCTGGTGACCAGGAGAACAGGTGGGAGAGAGGGAAGAAAAGGCACATTTGAAGCATGAGTCGGGAGAGGCACACAGTGAAGGGCACTGGCTCCTGACACTCCACCATGCCATTGTGGTCGTACGCTGGCGACCAGAACGCGGGAGGAAAAGAATGCAGCAGAAGAATGAGCCAGGCCAAGCAGCATGCAAGCGACACAACTGAGCAGAGGGAAGAAAGGAAACACAACGGGCAATCACAGAAAACACACGATGCTTCAGAGTCAACGGGGTCTGGATGGGTGGCCTGCCTCGCACTAATACAGCCTAATACACACCGCACTGCAAGCCATACTAATTAAGTGATAACAGCGTACTGACCTGGGTGGAAGTCGTTCTGGAAGATCTTTCCGGTGTTTTTGGCAAACAGAGTCTTGCTGGGCGATCGCCCCCCTATGTGCAGCAGGAACGACACACACCCCGACAGCGCCAGCTGCGACGCCAGCTGCCGCTTAAACGTCCACAGGTGCGACGATGACGGCAGCGACTTGTACACAAACTGCGACATGATATTCTCGGACACCAGGTGCGCCGTGATCTCGCGGTACGACCTCAGCCGCAGAGCCACCAGCCGCTCCCCCGACAGCTGGTTGATGATGGCGGCATTCAGGTCGTGCTTGAACTTGGCTATCGGGAGGTCCGCCTCGCGGTTGTACCGTGCGCAGTTCATCGCGTACACCTCCGCGAAGGTGCAGTAGGTGACGTCGTCCTCCACCAGCCGCACCTGCGGCCAGACAGGGACAATGATGGGCGTGTGGAACGCCAGGTTGCGCCTCCTCGTGTCTCTGTGCTTCAGCAGCGCCGCTCGGTTGATCGACCGCAGCAGCTGCACCGTGCGCTCGTCGCTGCGTGCAGACGGCGTGAGGGACGTCTGCACCAGAAAGTGCTTCTGCGACCCGTCGCTGCCCACGAGCGACAGCCGCCGGTGGCTGCTGCCGTGGCGGCGAATGATCGGCACATCGGGAGCGATGCGATCAAGCTTGATAGCATGCTCTGGCGGTACATCCTGGTCGTTGAAATACTGCCCAGGCACCTCTATATCCATCACATTCCACTCCCGCAACTGCCGGCTCTCCTCCTCCAGCTTCAGCACCGCTGGCAGCCGCTCCTCGATGTTCCGCTGGAGCACCCCCTCCCAGTGTTTGAGGGACGCTGTGAGGTCAGCTAGGGACTTGGGGAAGGTGTCCGTGGACTCGGGGTCGAGGGAGCGCTCGAACTCCCGCTTGTACTCGTTGACAAACTCGGTGTGCTTGGTGACGGTGTCTGAAGAGAAGCACGCGCGGCACACACCAGACAGCTCCTTTTTGAGAGATAACGGCACCTCGGCGGTGGTGGCGGTGGGGTAGCGGTAGCACCGGTGCAGCAGCGCGTGCACGACGGCCAGCAGGCGCTCCTCTGGGAGGGGCACGAAGCGCACGCCGATCTCTGTGAGCATGACCTCTAGCTCTGATGCCAGGCTGCCATACTTGGTGCGCAGCGCCTCCATCACCTCCATTGCCGCTTCAAACGCCATCACTGCCGCTGCCTGCCAGCTGCTCGTGCTGCTGCTGCTGCCAGCAGCGCCACCAGCAGCAGCAGCGGCAGCAGCGCCGGCTGCGCCTCCCCCTGGTGTACCTGCAGCAGCCGAGCGCCGAGCCACACCCACCACCGGCCCTCCTGCTGCTAGAGCTGTCGGCGCCGCCGCCCCTGCTGCTGCCGCCGCCGCTGCTGTTGCTTGGCCAGGGGATGCTCCTGCTGCTGCTGCATCAGCCGTCCCTGCTGCCCCCAAGGGTCGTCCAGCAGGCCTGGCACCCCCCCCAGGGTTGTTGTAAGGCGGCCCCGCGTCATTCGAAGCAGCAGACACCGCTGTTCGCGACTCTGACATGGCAGGCACAGCCCTTGCTGCTGCGCTCGGCCCTCCTGCTCCTCCTCCCTGCCCTCCCCCAGTCGCACCTCCCCCGCCTGGCCCCCCGGCAGCACCACCAGCACCTGTGTGTGCCCCTGCTGGGCCTCCTGCTCCAAGCACAGCGCCACCGCCAGAGCTGCCTGCTGCTGCTGGCGGCCCCCCTGCTGATCCCATGTTGCTAGCCCCAGCGCCAGCACCACCAGCGCCAGCCCCGCCTCCCATACCTGGCCCTCCTGCACCTGCCCCTGCAGCTGCTGCTGCTGCCGCCGCTGCAGCAGCTGCCGCAGCAGCAGCGTGGGGGCGAGCTGCTGCTCTCTGCGCCACGTCTCTGCGCTCCAGAACGTGCGTGCGCAGCCAGTAATAGAGCGCCTGGCATGCAAGGGAGTGCAAGGGAGGAGCATAGGCACAAGGGATTGAGAGGTCAGCTGGTAGCCCCCGAAAACACAGGCAATGAGACAAGTGTGAGGGATGCGAGCAGCACGGTGCTTCTGAGGCGCAGCAGGAAAGGACAGCACACGTGTTGATGGGCAGCATTTGATAGCATACCTGGGGGTAGGATGCAGCGAGGCGCAAGAGAATGGCCTTGGCGTGGGGCATCTCGGGGCGTTGCAGGGACAGCAGCAGCTGCGGCAGCCAGGCGAGCCACACCCAGTGCGGCACGTTGTCGGAGTGCTTGTCAAAGGCGCGCGCCACGGTGCCGTCGCCGTCCTCGAAGGACAGCAGGTACAACACGCGCGAGAGGAACGTGCGGCCGCGTGGTGAGCCGTATGTGATGCTCTGGAAGTAGCAGGTCACGGCGTATTCTAGCCACACCGGCACCCCCGTGTCCTGCCATACCTGGGGTGGTGAGAGAGGGATGGGGAAGAGGAAGGAGGGGGAAAGATGGTATACATGGAGGCATGAGTCTGCTTCTAAGTCCAAGAAGCAGGTCACGGCATACTCCAGCCACACCGCCACCCCCGTGCCCAGCAATACCTGGGGGCATCGGAGGGGTGTGGGGGGAGGGAAAGGATGGGAGAGAATAGGTATCAAGTATATTTTTGAGGCGCCTCAAAAAGGGCGCATCGGAGGGGTGTGGGGGGGGGGAAAGGATGGGAGAGTATAGGTATCAAGTACACTGCTAACCTAGAACCTCAAACATGGCGAAACCAAGTTCCAAAATGGTCGAGATAAAAAAGGGGGGCCGGGGGATGGGGGGAAGGGAAGGGGGGGGGGCTGGGGTGGGTGGATGGCGCCGATTGAGCTCTCTCCCAATCCAACTAGCCCACAGCACGCACCTGGTCGCAGTAGCAGGCCCAGCTGAGCCACCCCCTGGGCGAGCTCTTGCAGAGCGACACGGACGTGGAGAAGGCCACGTGCGCGCCATCCCCATCGCCCATGCGCCGCAGAAACTCCCCCTTGAGGCGGAAAATCTCCGCCTGCAGCGGCTGCGGGAAGTAGTCCAGCCGCGTGACGTTGATCAGATTTAACCCCGTAAGAAGCTTCCCGCCGCCTTCCCGCATCTCCATGTACGCCTTGACTTGTTCTCGGATCTTGGTGAAGGCCTCTTGGACCTCCATGGTCATGTAGCCGTAGAGGGAGTTGAGCAGGCGCACGCACGTGCTGCCCAGCCCGTGGTGGCGCGCTACGGATGCAAGGCGGTTCACGCTCCATGCCTTGTCGCGGAAACCCAGAGAGCGCAGGTCCGGACTGGTTTCCGGCAGAGACTGATGGATGGCGGGAGAGGGGGCGATTGGGGAACGAGAGGAAAGAGCCGATGGCTTGTGAGGAGATGTGATAACAAGATGGTGGAGAGATGGGCCGGAAGGGATGGGGAAAGTGTGGTTATATCATGCCATATCATGCCATAAGAAGGGAAGAGGAAAAATCACTACAACAGGAAAGATACCTTAAGGAAGGGAGGGCATTATATCAGGATGGATGCAGACGAAAAAGAAGGGGGGTTGGTTCGTGGGGTACCTCGAGGGACGAAATGATGAAGGAGTAGACGTGGTTGCGCCACTGCAGCACGTCACTCCACACCGCCACCTCCTCCCACTCGTTCGGCACTCTGATCCGCCACGTGTCCAGCACATCCTTCAGCTGAGTGAACGCATACGGCGCCCCCGCAGCCCCCGACGATGACGACGACCCCACACCCCCACCCGCTCCCCCCCCTCCTGCTGCGCCTGCTGCTGCGGCCGCGGCGTCGCGTGAGCCGCCGTGCAGCGCCATGAGCTTGTGGTGCTTGGCGCCGGCTGCTATGTCTAGGCGCACGCGTGCTGACTCCTGCAGCTCCACCAGGCGCTGGAACTGCTGCAGTAAGGGCAGGTGCGGCTGCACACCCACCACCGGCAGCTGCCACCACCGACTCAGTGCCAGAGACACCCCCTGCATGTAGGGCAGAGGGCCAAGAGATGCACAAACAAACGTTTGAGAACGCAAATGCACGGAACAAGGGGAATTGGGGGGGACCGGGGAGGGGTGGGGCGGGGTGGGTGGGGAGGAGGTTGTAAGTGGACCGGAACTCATGCATGCATTGCAGCCGAAGTACAGTTTCCCCATCCTTCCCTTACCAGGGAGATGAGCTGATCCGCCTCCTGAATGCTCTCCAGAGTGCCCTCCTGCAGCTTGCAGTACGCGCGCACGATCGCCACCCTCGGACTCTCCTCCACCTGTGCCTTAGGCAGCACCGTATCCCGCAGCAGCGCCCAGTTCCCCCTCCTCCACTCCACGTCCAGCAACACCTGGTAGTTGTCCAACTCCCTCCCAAACTCGGATAATACATCCCACTGGCACAGCTGCCATGCGGACGCCAGCCACTGCTCCTCCCAGAGGGATTCTTCGGCTTTGCCCACTTCATGGTTGGTGAAGCGGCCGTGCTGCCAGCGGGTCATGGCGCGAGAGAGCACATCCTGCGCCTCGCGCCAGAACCCGTGCTGCTGGAGGGCCAGCGCCACGTGGGTTTCTTGGGCCGCCTTGCGGCTGCGCCACAGCCCGTGCACCATGTCCGCATCGTTGAGCAGCCTGGGAGAATGGAAGGTGAGGTGACGGGGAAGGGGATAAGGAAGGGGGGAAGGGGGTAAGGAAGGGGGGAAGAGGGTAAGGAAGGGGGGAAGTGGGTAAGGAAGGGGGGAAGTGGGTAAGGAAGGGGGGAAGTGGGTAAGGAAGGGGGGAAGAGGGTAAGGAAGGGGGGAAGAGGGTAAGGAAGGGGGGAAGAGGGTAAGGAAGGGGGGAAGAGGGTAAGGAAGGGGGGAGGGGGAAAGGGGGAATACGGCTCTGCTCCTTCTCACTACATGACAGGGGTTGTGGGTGCACAGAATCCTTACCCCAACCCATCCCTATCCTGCTTTCCATCCTGGCTCTGAGCCCCTCCCTGACCCTTGATGCGATGCGGGCCTGTGAGGAGTCTATTTTTGAGGCGCCTCAAAAAAAGATGCGGGCCCATGACAAGCACTAACCGGCACACGAGAGACAGCAGCACCCGTGTATCCAGTTAACCCACTTCCATAGTGTGTACCACCAATTCACTGACACACCTAAAGAGCTCGGCGAGGGCGTTGAAGCAACGGGCATCCTGGGGAACATGGAGGGCAGGTACGTCCACTACCACCAGAACCCGTGTGTAATGTGTCGATTTTTTAGTTGACTCAAAAATCGAGAGCAGGGACGTCCACTACCACCAGAACCTCCCCTGTCTATCATCCTCTGCTTTCCTCATCCACATGGTACCACGAACCTGTAGAGCTCAGCAAGGGCGTCGAAGCAGCGGGCGTCCTGGGGGAACATGGAGACGTGGCTCTCAAGCAGGGGGATGGCGACGTGCCACGCGTTGAACGTGCGCCCCAGGTACTTTATCACCTCCGAGGGGATCTTTGGCTGCGGCTGGCTCAAACTGCTCACCCCGCACACGGCACATGGCACACAAACGATTCAGAATTGTGTGGGCATGCGCATGGGGGGCCATCAGTGAGGTGAGAGCAAGAGGCAAGAGGCAACGGGCAAGAGGCAACGGGCAAGAGTCAACTGGCAAGAGGCAACGGGCAAGAGGCAACTGGCAAGAGGCAACTGGCAAGAGGCAACGGGCAAGAGGCAACTGGCAAGAAGCAACGGGCAAGAGGCAACTGGCAAGAGGCAACGGGCAAGAGGCAACTGGCAAGAGGCAACGGGCAAGAGGCAACTGGCAAGAGGCAACGGGCAAGAGGCAACTGGCAAGAGGCAACTGGCAAGAGGCAACGGGCAAGAGGCAACTGGCAAGAGGCACCTTCTCACCTGATGCCTTCGAGCAGGGCCTGTACGACATTGGGCCGGCGGTGCAGCTGGTGGAAGTGGTACTCCCTTGACAGCAGCGCGATCATGGGCTTGGCGAGCTGCACCTGCTCGTCCTTGTGCAGCGACGCCCACACGATGGGGAACACCAGCACCCACAGGTGGTACGCCACCATTGGCTCCTCCAGCGACATCTCCTGCAGCGGGTGCAGTAGGTCCGACACTTGCAGGCGCAGGGAGTCATTGATGAACTTGGTGTGCTTTGATACCAGCGAGTTGAAGGACAGGCGCCCACCTTCGTCTTCTGACACACCTCCCTCCACCCCTCCACTTCCACTTCCACTCCCTCCTCCTCCCCCTCCTCCGGACACTCCCCCGGAGCTCCCAGCAGGAACGGCGGCGTGCAGGGGCACGCCGCCAGCCGGCATGAGGGGGGGCAGCTGCGCGGAATTCGGCGCGAGAGTAACGCTATCCCGGTCGATGAGGATGGCGAGCAGCAGGTCGAGCGCGTGCTTGATCCAGAAGCTGTCGGCGAGGGCCTCCCAGCTCTGCCCGTGGATGATGAACTGCAGGCGTGTGCACAGCTGGCGCCCTATGGCGTCGTTGTAGAGGGAGAAGAACTTGGCGCGGAGAGACGGGGAGCGCGAGCGCAGCCCAAGCATGAATACGCGCTCCACCTTCTGGAATACCTCCTGGCGGATGGGCGTGGGGTACCTGGCGTGTCGGGGGGAGGGAGGGGAAGGGGGGAGTGGGGAGTATATTTTTTAGCTGAGGCAAAGCAAACGGAGGGTGGGCGAGTAGGAGTTCTGGGAAAGTGAAATGCGGGAGGAAAGGCTAGAGGCAGCAAGGCCATGGGCGCAGTGCAGTGAGGTTGGCTTTCGGCTCATGAGTTGACCAAAAGCCAGCGGAAGGAACCAAGGAGGTGAGAGTGGAGAGAGGGAGGCAAGGCGGACCTGGTGGTATCGGAGCAGAGGGAGTAGAGCAGCCCGAGGAACTTGGTTTCCCAGTCGCGAGGAGGCTCCGAGGCCGACGCAGCAGAGGAGTCTGCACTGGGCTGGGCCTGGGGAAGGACGGAGAAATTTGGGGGGGGGTGTGGGGGGGGGGACATGGAGCCGGTGAGTGAATGCATGACAGGGGATGGCAGGGAGGACAGGGGATGATAGGGATGGCAGGGAGGCAGAAGGGAAGAGAACATCAGGTGGCCACTGAGATGCAAGGGAAGGTAACCACTAGCAGCCAACCAGAGGCGTGTGCCAGCGGATTTTGTATGCATGCATTACCATGTGCATCAACATGTGTATCATTATGTTAACACCCAGGTGCATCACCATGCACACTCCCACATGCATCACCACACACATGGCCACTCTGCCCCTGTTTGTCTGTCCTCCCTTCCCCCACTCTCTCTCACCCCAGCCGGCATGGCAGGAGAGTCTGTGGAAGCAGCAGGCGCAGCGGACTCTATCTTTGAGGCGCCTGAAAATAAAACCCTTCCCCCCCTTCACCACTCACCCCAGCCGGCATGGCAGGAGAGTCCGTGGAAGCAGCGAGCGCCGCGGCGGAGGAGGCGCGGGAGGAGCGGGAGGGCGCGAAGTGCAGGTGGCAGAGGCGGCGCTCCTTGGTGACGAGTGCGAGCTTGTAGAGGAAGTTGACCACGTCGCGCGCGTTCAACATGCCCGTGTACACCAGCTCCGCTTGCTGCTGCGCCCCCCGCACCACCGACACCCTGCCATGGACAGGTGGGGGGATTTGCACGAGCGTGTGAGTGCGTTATGGCCAGCGGGCGGGGGGGAAGGGGGTTGAGGTTGTGTGTATGTAGGTGTGTGTTCCGGGGCGGGGGCCAGGGGGGCGGGAGAGGAGAAGTAGTCAGAAGAGCAAGAGGAGCATGGGGAGCAGCGGAGCAGACGGGAGGAGCAGGGCTGGCACCTGAACTCAGTGTCGACCCATCGGCACACAATCTCCAGGATGGACAGCAGCACAGCGGGGTCCGTGGCTCTATCCGTCAGCAGGCTCTGCAGCAGCAGCCCAAACTGCCGCCGGCAGTCAGTCACATAGAGCACTCGCCTGCCCAGCAACTCCAAGGCGTCACACAGATTATCCACCCCCGCTGCAACCAGCCCTGGGCCCTCCTCCTCCCCACCTGCCCCTGCTGCACCTCCCCCACCTGCCCCTCCCCCAGTACCACCGCCACCAGCAGCGCCTGCAGCAGCAGCGGTGGCAGCAGCGCTCCCGGCTGCTGCGCTGAAGCTGCCTGATCCTGCTCCTGCTCCTGCCAGTGCCGCCAGGCCTGGGGATGGCGGCTTGCCTCGGCCCCCTGCTGCTTCATCCGCCTGTGCATCGGCGGACTGGGAGAATAAGGGAGGAGGGGTGGTGCGAGAGAAGAAGAAAATGAAGATAACGGAGCAGAGAGGTGTGTGGAAGGGTTTAGATGAAGAGACAGGGTAAGCGCACACAGGCTACAAATGGAGAACGAGCAGGCAAGAAATGGCGTTGACAAGCTATGTGACAGACAAGCAGCAAGTTTTACAGACACGCACCGTGCCAGCAGCAGGGCCTGCAGCAGCGATACTTCTGGAGAGGTGGAGCGCCGTGGGCACGAGCACTGGCAGCAGGCGATCCACTATCTGCTGCTGCTCAGTGGCTGCCAGCGTGTGCAGGACTGCTAGCGACGCTCTGATACCAGCATTGTTCGCGGGGGATAGCACGGCCGGTGCAGAGGGAAGGGAGGAGGAAGGAAGCGTCGGCGTGGCACTTCGAGCCATGCCTGCTGGTGCGGCTGCTGCTGCCCCTGCAGATGTACCTGCACCAGGTGCTCCTCCCTGGGGAGTAGCTGCCCCTGCCGCGTGCGCAATGCCAGCAGCGCCAGCAGCACCAGGTCGGGAAGCCAAGGGAGGCAGACCGGGTGCCCCTGCTGCTCTACCCTGTTGCTGCTGCTGCGGTGGTAACATGGCACCTGATCCTGCTGCACCAGCAGCAGAACCACCTGGGCCGGAGGCTCCAGGAGTTTGCCCAGGTGCCGCAGCAGCAGAGCCTGAGGCAGAGGCCTGAGGAGAGACAATGGACATGAGAAGCTTCTGCGTCACTTCTTCCACCCTCTGCGCCACCACATTCACCTGCTCCAGATACGCCTCCCTCGCTGCTGGGTCGTCCTCCCGCCCCTTGCTCCCCTCTCCCCCTGTTGCTGCTGCTGCCGCAGCAGCAGCAGCTTGACCAGCAGGTGAGGGAGCGGCAGCGGAAGGGGTGGCGGCAGGGCCGGCGGCAGCAGCAGGTGTAGCAGCAGCAGAGGCAGCTGAGGCACGGGTGGCGGATGGAGGCGAGAGGGAGGCGGCGGTTGAGAAGAGCGTGCGGAGGATGCGGCAGAGGCATGCAATGACCTCCTTGGACCGGCTCCTCATGCACGGCTCTATGATCTGCAACACGGGCAGGGTGGGTGGGCGGAGCACAAAAAAAAAGGGTGGGATGGAGGAGAGGAGGCACTAAATCAATGGTGAAAGGGCCAAGTGCCACCTCAGTAAAGCGCACAATTGAGGATGGGGTGGTACGCGGTACATGATGGGGCCAGCGGGAACACAACACATACCATAACTGGAGATGGAGAAAGCAGAACACACGCTCAACAAAAAAACTCGAAAATCGGAAGAGTAGGACGAAGAGTAGAGCGAGGGAGTACCCACCTGAAGCACATGCATGGAGTTGTGGCGCAGGAAGGAGAGGGGGCTCTTCCGCAGGCACGTCTCAATGACCCCCATGCCTGTCAGCAGCGCAAGCGATAGGTCCTTGGTCGCTGCTGCCCCCCCACCCGGCGCTGCCTTGCCAGCTCCTGCCTGGTTGGCGTCTCCCCCCTGAGGCAAAAGGGTCGGGCGCACAGGGATGGGGAGACAGCGATGGGGACAAAGGCTCCGCACACTCCCCCCTGCACATACCCACCTGCACAAGCACGCCCAACCCCTCAAAGCCACACGCACGAAATCCCCTCAACCACACACACACACGTCTTCAACCTCCAGCTTGCACAGACATAAACACTCGCAAGCAAGCACGCACCTCCCCTGCGGCGGACTGCTGAGCCTTCTGCTGTGCGGCAGTCTGCTGCTGGTGCAGCGCGAGCAGGCGCTCGATGTAGTTGACCCTAACAGTGGCCCACGGCCACAGCCCCAGCGCCTCCTCCAGCAGCTGCAGCGCCTGCTGGTGCAGCGCTGTGGTGTCCTTGTCCTTGGGCTCCGACACAAACGCAAAGCGGATGAGGAAGTTGAGCACCATGTCCTCCATGCCCGTGTGCGGCCGGAAATCATCGTCCCCTCCTGGCGTCCCCGCTCCTCCTGCTCCGGCTCCTCCTGCTGCTCCTCCAGCTGCTCCTGCTGCACCAGCTGCTCCTCCTGCTCCAGCAGCCGCGCTGGGAGCAGTGCCAACTGCAGCACCTGGCCCCAGCGCATGCCCCTCCTCCAGCTTCATCCTCTTAGCAGCACTCCCTTCCTCCTTCTCCTCGCCTCCGCCCAACTCCCTCTTCGCCCCACCTACCACTTGACTGACCTCACCACCCTCCCCTCCTCCTCCTGCTGGAGCACCATCAGCACCACCAGCACCACTACCACCAGCGGCAGCAGCAGCAGCAGCCGCCGCCTCATTCTCTCGCCGCTTCTTCTCCCAGTTGACCACGAGCCCTGCGAGGTCCACGGCCAGGCGGCGATTCTCGAGGGAGCTGTTGAGCGGCAGGGCCAGGCGCTGCAGCGAGTTTACCATCTGCGGCAGGAACTGGGCGCGTGAGGGGTAGAAAAGGTCTGCGTGCCGCACAATCAACTGGAAAATATGCACCAGGTGCGCAATCGAATGCCCCTCTTCGACCAAAATCTTCTTAGTGTATCGGATCCATAGCGGCATCTTCTGGTCCCCCTGAGGCAGCCGGTTGGGCAGAGCCGGCATGAGAACGTCCAGGGCTTGCTTCACGAGCAGGCGGGTCTCCGGCTGGCAGGCGCGCAGCAGCGCGACAAACACCTGCAGAATGATCTTCTCAGGCGCCTGGTACGCGTCGAGGAAGTGGCAGACGTTGACGAAGGCCCACTGCTTGCTGCTGCTGTCCTCGCGCTTGAGGTGGTTCCACCCAAACTTGATCAGCTCGCGCCGGTGCAGCTTCAGCTCGTTGGGCGTGTAGCGGATGAGCAGGGTTGCCAGCTGCAGCAGCTCTATGCGTAACGGCTCGTCGTACTGCGCGCTCAGCTGGGGGGGAGGGGGTGCAGGGGGGTAGGGGACTCACGTGAGTGGTGCTGTGAGTGTGTTTGAGTGTGTGTGAGAGTGAGTGAGAGAGTGTGTGCTTACCTTGAACCTAAGGTTCTATCAAATTAAGGACCACTTGAGAAGGGGGAGGGGGGAGGGGGGAGGGAGGGAGAGAGAGGGGGTGCGCGGGGGATGGAGACGACACCAAACCACATCGCTCCACACCGCACCAGATCCCACCCTCTGCACCCCACCACACTGCACCAGACCCCACCCTCTGCACCCCACCACACCGCACCAGACCCCCCCCTCTGCACCCCACCACACCGCACCAGACCCCACCCTCTGCACCCCACCACACCGCACCAGACCCCACCCTCTGCACCCCACCACACCGCACCAGACCTCACCCTCTGCACCCCACCACATCGCACCAGACCCCACCCTCTGCACCCCACCACATCGCACCAGACCCCACCCTCTGCACCCCACCACATCGCACCAGACCCCACCCTCTGCACCCCACCACATCGCACCAGACCCCACCCTCTGCACCCCACCACATCGCACCAGACCCCACCCTCTGCACCCCACCACACGCGCACCGGCCTCCTCCTCATCACCCGCTCCCATGAACCCCCTCACTCTCTCCTCACCCTCCACCCCCCTCCCTTCTACCCCCCCCTCACCGCTTCCGGCAGGTCGAGTAGGCAGCCCACAATGGTGTGGATGACCGTGGCGTCCAGCAACTCTGCACCACATTACACATCACCCCACCCAACCCCAACCCACAGCACCCCACCACATGCGCACCAGCCTACTCTCGCTCCTCTCCCCAGCCTCACCTCTTCTGGCGGGTCAAGCAGGCGGTCCACAATGGTGCGGATGACAGTGGCGTCCAGCAGCTCGGGCCCATGGCCATGGCTGAGCGAGTGCGAGAGCATGGGCATGATCAGCAGCTGCAGCGCCGTCACCATCGCCTCCTGGTGCGCCGCCGGCATCACCTGGCTGCCCGGCCCCCCTGCTGCTGCTTGGGCTCCAGGCTGCCCTGCTGGTGGCTGCGCGGGGTTGGTGAGGATGCCGCCTTGGTAGAGCACCAGGAAGCGCAGCAGGACTAGCTTGCGCTGCTGCGGCGAGTACGTCTCTGCCAGCTGAGGGTGGTTGATGGAGGGGGGGGCGGGTTGGGGGGGAGGGGGGGTTGGAAGGAGGAAGAAAGTGAAGGCCGGTGCATGTCAGTCAGGAAACATGGTGGAACTGCGGGCGCAAGCGCATGAAGAGCTGAGCTTTGAGTCGACTCAAAAATCAAGCGCATGAAGAGCTGAACTTTACAGCTGTGTTTTATGCGGGCTGGAGAAGCAGAAGCAAGTGCAGGAGCGGAGTGGAGCGAATCGAATCGGACCTGGAGCATGAAGAAGCGCTTGAGGAAGGTGAAGTCGATGCGCGTGCGCACGCGGAAGATGGCGAGCAGAGAGAAGAGCACGTCCACCTCCTCACGGTTGTGCTTCACGTAGTTGAGGAAACACTTGGCCAGCCACTTGCTCTCCTTCACCTGCTCATCACACACCCGGCGCACATGCACAACCACACCCACACATAGCCCCACCCACACATAGCCCCACCCACACGCATACTTGCACTCACACCCATGCCAACATCCCATGCCATGCCCATCCATGCCCATGCCCTCACACCCACATTCACGCTCGCACAAACACCCACACCAGACACTAAATCAATTCAGCATGGATTGTCCAAGGAATAAATATGCAGGAGACGGTTTCATGTGCTCCGATGATGGGTCACACTGTCGTTTTCCCTACCACCCATGCAGCATGCACCAACCACCCATGCAGCATGCACCAACCACCCATGCAGCATGCACCAACCACGCATGCAGCATGTACCATGCACCAACCACGCGCCACCACCACACACCACCCCCCACCCGTCCCCACCATGTGCAGGGGCAGGTCTTGTTCGCGCATGAGGCGCTGCTTGCGTGCGGGCGAGTGCCAGAGGTGCAGCAGCGCCTCAAAGATCTGGCGCTGCCCGCCCAGCCAGTCCGGCAGCAGCTTCACCAGCGCGCGCACCAGCGCTATGCCGTTGATCTGCACCTCCACCTCTGGGAATGGGTATCATCAGGCACAGGCACGAACCACGCAGTGCAGGTACAGAAAGAGGGCGAGTGTCGAGGGGGACGTGCAGGAAAGGGATGTGGGGGGTTGGGGGGGCGTGGGGGGGTGGGGATACAGAGACGGTTTGGGTAAGCAGTGGTGGCAGGAAAGGGAGTGCAAAACGGAGGACAGGTGAAGCGGCGGCAGAGAAGGAAGGGCAGGCAGCCCGGCGATGGGCGGGAATGCGATTTGTGGCGGCGTACCTTGAGCGGGATTCTAGTTCTGAGGCGCCTCAAAAATAGACGCGCACGGCTATGGGCGAGAGTGGGCTTTGCGGCGGCGTACCTTGAGCAGGAGTGAGCGGATGCGCGGGCTGGGGCAAGTCCGTGAGCCCCAGCGAGGGTGCCACGGACCGGAACGCGGCGCCGATGATCTTATTGGGCGACCGCGCCAGCTCCTCCCTCAGCGGCACGCCCGTGTCGGACCGGATGATCGCGAGGAACCGGCGGAAGAAGGAGGGCTGGCCCAGGCGCGCGAGGAAGTAGTCGACAGACTCGTGTGCGTAGCGGTTGAGGAACTTGGTGAGCGGCTGCAGGTACGGCGAGTTGAGGTCCGAGAGGAGGGACGTGGGCGGGAGAGCTGCCTCCAGCTGCATGGACAGGTGCACCAGGTCGTCCAGGAACTTGACAGCTTGGGACGGCAGCAGGTGGAAGAGCTCCAGAATGGCTGTGAGAGGAAACAAAAACGAGGGAGTGCGGAAAGGAGAGGGGCGGCTGTGAGAGGGGGGATAGTGGCAGCGGTGCAGCGGCAGCAGTGCGGAGCGTAGTGGAAGATAGCTGCCAGGAGAAGAGACTAGTCAAGACCTGGGGGGGATAGTAGCGAAGAGGCAAATAGCCACTGTCCATCCAGGCACTATCTCCCAGCAAGGTATGGCCTAGTAGTATGCATGAGCACGGGGCGAAGCAAGGATTCCTTGACCCAAGGATCTCATCCTCGCGCCATAGCCGGGGCGGGTCGAGGAATCCTCGCCGAGGAAAATCCCCCCTCGACCCCCGGGTTTTGGGGTCGAGGATTGAAATCCTCGCCTCGAGAATTAATTCATTCACCCGGGGCGAGGATTCCTTGACCTGGGCGGCTGGGGGTTTAGGGGGGGGGGGGGGGGGGAAATGGGAACATGTGCGGGAAGAATGAGCCTTATCCAGGTTTTCCTCGCGAGGATACAAAATCCTCGCCCATTTGCCTCGAGGAAAAGTCGAGGCCTCGAATCCTCGCCGGGGCGGGGCGAGGATTCCTCGCGAGGATTTTTCCCAGAAATCCCGCCTCGACTCCCGGAATTTCGAGGCGAGGAAATCCTCGCCTCGTTGCTCATGCCTACCTAGTAGACAGCAAGTACCCCCACCCTCAGCACCCTCACCAGCGGCTATCTTGGGCTCTTCCCCCGGGCGCCATGCCCTCTGCCCCTGTGTGGGCCCTCTGTCGGGCTCAAGCATCTTGGCCAGGTAGTCCTTGAGCTTGTCGCCCAGCGTCACATTGAACCAGTTCGACAGCAGCTCCAACAGCCGCGCCAGACCCTGACCGCGTGGCGGATTGGGGGGAGGTGTGAAGTGGGAGGGGGGGAGGGGGAAAGGGGAAAACGCGGAAGAGAGAGGGCAGGGTGTGAGCAACACGAGGGTAAAAGGAACCGCGAGCTGAGGATATCACGCAGAAGTGACGGGCTGGTACTTCAGCAGTGGTAGTAGTAGGCTTTTGCTAGATGGAGTGGAAAGTGTGAGGGGTAGGGTGAATAGAGAAACCAGGAGAAGTGGGCGGAATTGGTGAGGGCAGCAGACGCACCTGGAGCAGCGGCAGGTTGAGGCTCTTGTAGTGCGCAAAGTGCACGAGGATGGGCCGCAGGCTGGATTGCAGCAACTCCTTGGGCAGGCGCTGCTGCATGATCACCTGCCGTAACCCCTCCTTGGCCGCGCTGACAATCTCGGGCGTGCGCAGCGTGAGCGACTTAAAGAACATGGCGATGATGCGCGAGCGCATATCGGCGTGGCCGGGCGCCTTGCACTCGTCCCACGCCATGGCGGTGCAGAGCAGCTCGATGCACGCGGAACGCAGGCGCATGAGCACAGCGGCCTGCCGCCCCGTGAGGAACTTGGCATGGAGCACTGCCTCGTCCGCCTCAGCCACGCTCAGCGCGTCTTGGAGGAGGGTGAGGAGCTCCGGGGTGAGGCGCAGGAGGGGTGGGCGCAGGGCGAGGCAGAAGTTGGCACACATGACGGTGCCCACCTGGGGGGGGAGAAGGAGAGGAGCGAGGGGAGCGGAAGGGAGGGGGAGAGAAAGGGAGCGTATACAGAGAGATGGGACAGGGAGATAAGCGCCACATGGCGCAGGAGGGGTGGGCGCAGGGCGAGGCAGAAGTTGGCACACATGATGGTGCCCACCTGGGGGGGGAGAAGAAGAGGGGCGAGGAGAGGGGAAGGGAGGGGGAGAAAGGGAGAATATACAGAGAGAGAGGACAGGGAGATGAGCACCGCCGTGGTTGTTGGGGAAAAGGCGCACGTCTCGTGCACATCTGCTGCCAGCTAGGAGCACTCGGGATGCACCCATGAGGGTGGCTCGCACTGCTGGCACGCACGCACCTGCTGCTCAACGTGTCGCGATCGCAGGGGGCGGCTGAGCAGCGGGGCGAGCAGCGGCTGGTACGTGGGCTCCAACAGCTCCGACACCTCGGAGCCGCGGCGCGAGGCGAGGAGCGCGAGGCTGGCCTGCACATTCTTGCGCACGATGGCGGGCGAGTTAGGGTTGAACAGCTCCACTGCAAGGACTTCGAGCACGGAGCGGAAGCTGGCGGTGCGCTCTTCTGACGCCGTGTCATCCATGCTGTTGGCCACTCGTAGGACCTGATGGGGACGGGGGCAGGATGGAAGGGGGGGAGAGAGGGGTGTTGCTGATAAGTTTGAAGGGGTAAAGCATGGGGGGGAGATTGAAAAAAAAAGAGCAAACACCGGTTGAAGCAGAAGGGAAAGGGGGGTGTGCGCAATTTGCAGTTTTCGCCGGGTGATACACGAACAGTTTCCAATCGGAGCTAAGACCCATGCAATGTTCTAGGTGAGACACAAAAACAAGCATGGGCACCTTTCAAATTCCAATGGAAACCGAACGAGAGGGACATGCACACTTGTAGCAGAAAAGAGTGAGAGAGCGGGAGAGTGAGACCTGGGTAAGGACAAGAGTTGTCTCCTCGTGCTCTCTAACTGAGTGCTGAGGCAGCCTCCTTAGCACGAAGAGAAGAGCGCGCACGATGCGGGACTGGAGGGGGCGAGGTGCCAGACACACAAAGGTAGGGTGATCAGAGCAGCTGGGGAGATATACACATGAAACGCACAGACGTGGTGGGCCGCATCGCATAATCAACAGATACATTCAACTCATCATTCCCCAATAAAACAGCCAAGTCATGATGACTCATGAGACGACTTTTACAGCGCCTAAGAAATCGCATGCAGCACGGCTCACCTGGAAGAGGCTGAGCATGTCCACGGGCACCTTGCCCACGAGCGCACCCAGCCCCATCACCCCGCCGATCTGCTCGTGCCACGCCAGCCCGTAGCAGCAGTGCAGCAGGCGCGCCAGCAGCTCCTCCAGCACCGGCACTCTCAGCCCAGGGGGTGCAGGCGCTACCACACTCATCGACGGGGAAGACACCATTCCCGGTGTCCCCGGCGTGGGGAGCATGGCAGGGATGGCAGTGCCTGCCTGTCGGCAGCGCGCCATGAGAATGACCGAGTCTGCGAAGGCGGTGAGTGCGGTGACGGCGGCGCGCGCATGCGCTCGGTTCTCCGCCACGAGCACGGACACAAGGGAATCGATGAAGATGATGGGGTCTAGGACACGCAGGGACGACTGCTGCTGCTGCTGCGGCGTCTGCTGCTGTGATTGCTGCTGGAAGGCCTGCTGCTGTGGGTGCTGTTGAATCTGCTGCTGCTGCTGTTGTGCCTGTGGCTGCTGCCTCTGCAGCGGCTGCTGCTGCTGCTGCTGCTGCTGTGCCTGTGGCTGCTGCCTCTGTTGTTGTTGCAGAGCAGGCATTGGTTGCCCTTGCGGACGACCCACAGGCTGCTGCGGTGGCTGGGCCTGCACAGCCGCTCGTTGCTGCAACTGCTGTGCTCCTTGCGGCAATTGCTGCCCTCCTTGCACTCCTTGCGCCCCAGGCAACGTCGCTCGCTGATCACCCTGTGACGGGCCTTGTGTAGGTTGCGCAGGGCTTTGGGCAGAACCAGGAGTCGGAGCTGCTTGGCCCTGCTGTGTCGCCCGACTCACGCCTTGGGCCAGCCTATCAGCCTGCGGAATAGCAGGTGCAGGTGTCGGTGCCTGCGCCTGTGCCTGTGCCAGTGCCTGCACCTGTGCCTGTGCTTGTGCCGGTGTATGTGCTGCTGCTGGTACCTGTGCCGGTGCATGTGCTGGTGCTGCTACCTGTGGCGGCACCTGTGCTTGGCCTACGGCTGTGCTGTGCGGGCCCACTGCCCCATGGCTGCTCTCCACTGCCTCTACTTTCACTGCACCTGCAGTCTGCGGACCTGCCATCTGTGTGTTTGGTGCCTTCTTATCCTCAGCTGCAGCTTGTGTTGCCTCTACCTGTGGCCGTTGCTGCGGTGATTGAGCCATCCGCTGCTGCTGCTGCTGCTGCTGTGGGTGTACAGTCGCAGCCGGTGTGGGCCACTGCGAAGGAGAGACTGCCACTCCTGTCGGTTGCTGCACTCCACCTCGCTGCATAGCCACGCCTTGCTGTGCCACCTGCTGCTGCTGCTGCTTAGGCCCCTCTAACGCTTGTTGTGCCGTTTGCACTATTAGCCCTTGTTGTGCTGCCGGCGTTTGCGCTGGCGTTGGCACTGGCGTTGGCGTTGGCGTTGGCGTTGGCGTTGGCGTTGGCGTTGGCGTTGGCGTTGGCGTTGGCGTTGGCGTTGGCGTTGGCGTTGGCGTTGGCACTGGCGTTGGCGTTGGCGCTGGCGTTTGCGTTGGCGTTGGCGCTGGCGTTGGCGTTGGCGTTGGCGCTGGCGCTGGCGCTGGCGTTGGCGTTGGCGCTGGCGTTGGCGTTGGCGGTAGTGGTGTAGCAGGTGATGTGAGGGGAGGCTGCACAGGCTGCTCGGCCTGCAGCCGCCCTGGTGCATGCTGAGGCGCTGCAGGTTTTTGGGGCTCAATCGGCAGATGAACTTTCGATTCCTTAGATTCCTCTCCTGCATCTTCCATCTTCACATCTTGGGCCTCTTGTCCCTGCCCCCCTCCATCCCCCTTCCCTTCAGCCTGCCCCGTCCCTGCCCCACCACCTGTTGAATCAACATCCATCTTGTCCGCAGATTCCTTCCCCCCTCCACCCCCACCGCCTGTTCCCTCCTCTTTGCCCTCCACTCCCTTCCCTTCAGCCGCCGTTTCCCCTGCCGCCGTGTCTGTCCCCGTCGTCTCTGTCTCTTCTGTCTTGCGCTGCATCTTACCCTGCTCCTCCCCCTGCACTGCAGTCGCTGCTTTCCCCTCGTCTGCATCCTTCGTATTCACCCCCCCCACAGCCTTCTCCTTCCCTTCGCCGTCTCGTTCTCCTAATCCACCTGCAGCACTTGCCTTCTCCTCTCCCTTTCCACCTCCCCCCTCCTTCCCCTCCTCTTTCTCCTCATCTTTTCCTACCTCGCTCCCTTCCTCGCACTTAGCAGCCTCCTGCTGCATCTCACCACCTGACACCTCTCCCCCCCTACCTTTCCCTCCATCATCTGTGCGCTTGCCTGGCTCCGCCTTACCTCCTGGACCACCCGCACTCTGCCCCTCACCAACCTTCTCACCCTTCTCACATCTAAGCTCCCCCTCAGCCTCTTCTCCTGCCTTCTTGGCAACCTCCCCCTCCGGCGATGCGCCCTCCACCTTGTCCTCCTTCCGTCCCTCCATTTCCTTGCCCTTGCCCATCTCTCCCTCCGCTTGCCCACTCTCCCCCCTGCCACCGTCTACTCCCTCGCCTTGCTCCCCTTCGCCCACTGCACTCCCATCGTCCTTCTTCCCGTCCTTCCTTCCATCCTCCCCCTCTGCACCCTCTGCCCCTTCCTTCTTCCTCTCTCCTTCCACAGTGCCTTCCACAGTGCTTCCTACTCCAGAATCTTTCTCGCCCTTAGCCCCATCTGCCACACCCTCGCCTGTCTCCCGCTGCTCCCCATCCATGACCGAACAACCACCCTCATCCCATGTGCCCTTTGCCGCACCCGGCTCCTCGTGTGCCTCCACTTCCCTTTTCCCCTTCTCCTCTGCTTCGACTCCCTTCTCTTCTCCCTCCACTTTCTTTATCCCTCCTTCACCTAGAGATGGCTCCTCCCCCTCTGCCAACTCCCCTTCCTTCGCCCCTTCCGCCCCTTCTGTCCCTGTCGCTGACCCTTTCCCCTCCTCCTCAGCCTCTTTCGCCTTCTCAGGAGCAGCAGCACGAGCTGTCTCACTAGCTGTTCCTTCCACTGCTTCACCCGCCTTCTTCTCTTCCCCTCCCTCCCTTTTCGCACCATCATCCTGCCCTCCTCCATCTACCCCCACTCCACCTGCTTTCTCCACAGCACTGACCTTCTCCGCACCACCTTGCTCGCCCCCCTCCTCCTTGTTCCCCTGCCCACCCTCCTTCCCCTCACCACCACCCTCACGTACCTCCTCCAGGTTCCCCTTCCCATCGCCTCCAGCCTTCTCCTCTGCTGGCTCCCCCTGCTTGCCCTGTTTATCCGTCTCCCCTTCACCCGCAGCAACTTCTGCACTGCTGCCCTTTTCTTCTCCCTCCACATTCTCCCCCGCGTTTTCCATCACTTGCTCCTCCGGCGCTTCTACTTGCGTCTCCTCCGTCCCACCCACAGGTTTGCCTTGCCTCTCTCCCGCTTCTGCCCCACCTTGCGCCGTTCCTGCCTCTGCCCGTCCCTCTCCCTCAGCCGCACTCTGCCCTTTCTCCTCTTCTTCCATCTTGTCCTCCTTTCCTTCCTCCGCCTTGCTCTCCTCCACTGCTGCCGCCTCTACTGCTGCCGCTTCTCCTCCACCCTCCTCACCCTCGCCCAACTCTGCACCCTTGCTCACTTCTGCATCCTTCCCAGTGTCTTCCTTCTCCTCTACCTTCTCCTCCCCCTCCAACTTTCCAGCTCTCTCCTCTCCACCACCATCCTCCACTACCTCCTCTGCCGCTGCTGCCTGTCCCTCGGCCTCCTGCGGCTGTGCTTCCGCTGCCGCCTGTCCCTTATCCTCCTCCTCATCCTGCTTCCTTTCCTCTGCAGCGTGTACCTGCTCCTCGCCAGCACCCTCAACAGCTGCCTCTGCTTCTTTCTCCTCCTCTTGACGCGCATCCCCTTGCTGCGCCTCTCCCGCAGGCTCTTTCTCATCGCCCTTGTCCTCTGTTTCTGCCTCCACAATCTCCTCAGCCTTCTCCTCTGGCTTCTCCTCAGCTGGCTTCTCCTCCGCTTCGACCTCCGCTGTCTTCTCGTCTTCAAGTTTCTCTTCCTCCACCATTCCCCCTTCACCTACTCCTCCCTTTGCATCCTCCTCGCCTACCGCCCCCTCCCCATCTGCCTTCCCCTCTCCTTCCACCTCCATGCTTGCAGCCTCCTCTCCCCTACCTGCATCACCGCCTCCCGCCCCCTCCCCTCCACGTATCTCCTCTCCTGAGCTCTTCACCCTTTCTCCCCCTTCAGTCTCCAATTCTTGAGTCCCTTTCTCTCGTTCCTCCTCCTCCTCTTTCTCCTCTTTCTCCTCTCTCTCCTCTTTTTCATTCCCACCCTGTTCCTTCTCCTCCTCTTTCTCCTTTACTTCGGCCTCTCCTACTGCTTCTGTCTCCTTAACTCCTTCCTCCGCCTTCCCTCCCTCCTCCACCTTCCCTCCCTCCTCCACCTTCCCTCCCTCCTCCGCCTTCTCTCCCTCCTCCACTTTCTCGTCCTTTTCTTCACCTGCCTCCGCATTACCACCTTCCACTTCCATACCTCCCGCTCCATTGTCCTGTGCAACCTCAGCCTTCTCCTCTTCTTCCATACCCTCGCTCTTCCCCTCCTTCCCATACTTTTTCAACCCACCCTCCACTTCCACACCTCCACCCAACCCTTTGCTCTCCTTCTCTACATCCATAGCAACTGAGTCATCAACCTTCTCCACCTTCTCGCTCGCCTCCCCAGTACCCTCCTCCACCTTTTCCGCCTCACGCTTGCCCCCCTCAGCTTCAGCCACCTCACCCTTCCCTTCCTCCATCACCGCATCCCCCTTCTCTCCCACACCGTCTTCCTTCGTCTCTCCACTCGTCCCACCAGCCCCTTCAACATTGGCCCCTCCTGTACTCGGCCCGGTCGCCACACCCTCTTTTACCTCCGCCCCCTCTTCTCTCTCCGTCTCTCTTCCCCCTCCACCGCCCCCCTGGCCCTCCTCCCCTTTTTCCCCATCGCCAATGTTCCCCACCCCTTCTACCACCTGCTTCTTTCCCTCAGCTTCCCCCTCGCCTGCCTCCTTCGCACCATCCTCCTCCCCCTTGTCATTTCCTGCCTTGCCTTCTGTGCTCTCCCGTCCCTCCGTCACCTCTTCTTTCTTCTCCCCTTCTCCTGCACCCGCTTCAGCTATCGCCACCTTTCCCGCCTCTGCCTCTCCACCTGCACCATCCTTGCCTTCTCCCTTCCCTTCCCCTGTCACACTATCCTTCGAAACAGTCCCTCCGACTTTCGAATCTCCTACAAGCTTCTCCGCATCCTTAACATCCGGTTCAGCAGCGACAGCTGCTGCAGCAGTGGCACCCTTCCCTGCATCCTCCCCTTCCACCTTCACATCCCGCTCTTTTGCCACATCACCAGCACCCTCACCTTGAATCGGTTCAGACTCCACTCTTGCGCCCTCCTTCTCCTTCTCCTTCTCCTTCTCCTTCTCCTTCTCCTTCTCCTTCTCCTTCTCCTTCTCGCTTTTGCCATTCTCCGTAACCCCAGCCTGCTTCACTTCTGCTGCTTCCGCCTCTGCCGCAGCACCACTCGCCTTTGCCTTCTCTCCACTCGGCTTATCCACATCCTTACCCTGCTCCTCGTTACCAGGCGTGCCAGCACCCACCTTCTCGTTCCTCTCTCCATCCCCTTCCTCTGCCTTCCCTCCACTCTTGTCCTTTTCCTTCTCCTCTTCCTTCTCCTTGCCTCCCTCCTCTACCTTCTCTTTCTTCTCTTCCATCTCACCAACACCTTTCCCTTGTTCTGTCTGACTGTCTGCACATGTCTTCTTCTCCCCCTCCCCACCTCCTTCTCCTCCTTCTTTGCCCTGCACTGCTACACCTTGCTCCACGGCCTTAAATTCTGTGCCCTTGCTCGCTTGCACCTGACTCCCCTGTGCAGCCTGCTGCTGACTTGACTCACCCTCACTTTTCTTTGCCTCTGCTGCTGTGGCTTGTGTGCTCTGCTGCAACTGCCCCTCCCCTACTGCCTTCGTGCTAACTGTGCCGCTAGCCTGCTGTGTCTGTGCTTGTGCCTGAGCCTGCACCTGTGTCTGAGCCTGTGCTGTCCCTTGCACTGGAGCCCCCCTCCCTCCAGAGCCTTCCACCTGTGCCGGTGCTGGTCTCGCCTGTGCAGGCCTTGCCACCTGTGCGCTTGCAGCTGCTGCCGCTGCCTGGCCAAGCTGGAGGACAGCAAGAGCTGGTACCCCTGCCACCGCTGGCCCACTTTTTGCACCTGGTGCTGCTACAGCTGCTGGTGTTGCAGGTGCTGCTACAGCTGCCAGTGCTGCTACTGCTGCTACAGCTGCCGGCGCTGCTACAGCAGCAGGTTTAGCTACAGCTGCAGGTGTTGCTACGGCTACAGGTGTTGCTACAGCTACCGGTGCTGCTACGGCTGCCGGTGTTGCTACGACTGCTTGTGCTGCTTTAGCTGCCACAGCTGCCTGTCCTGCCACAGCCGGTTGTGCTATCCCCGTCGGTTGCTCTGCCGTAGTTGCCTGCGCTACAGCTGGCTGAGCTACAGCTGGTTGAGCGACAGCTGCCTGGACTGCAGCCGGCTGTGCAATACCAGGCCCCTGAACCGTCTGCCTCTGTGCTCCCTGCTGCACAGGCTGTGCTTTCCCCACTGCCAGCTGTACTTGTCCCACTGCCGGCTGTGCTTGTCCCGCTCCTGGCTGTGCTTGAGGCACCACTCCCTGTGGACGAACCCCCTGCCCCTGCCCCTGTGCCTGTGTGGGTGGCGGTGCCTGTCTTAGCTGCTGCGCCTGCTGCATTTGCATCCCAGGCATGGGTACTACCTGCAGCTGTTGCTGTGGCTGCTGCATTGGCTGCTGCTGGCCAGGGGCTAGGCCTGTCCTCTGCGGTGTCAACGGCTGGCATTTTTGGGGTGAGGCAGCCAGACCTTTGCTCTGTGCTGCTGCTGGCACAGCAATGCCTGACGGTGCCGCCTTCCCTGCCGCCGCCGCTGCTGCTGCTGCTGCTGCTGCTGCTGCTGCTGCTGCTGCTGGTGCCTGTGCTGCTGGTGCTGGTGTTGGTGTTGCCACCACTACCAGTGCTGCTCCAACCGCTGCTGCTGGCACTACAACAGCTGCCGGCGCTGGCCGGACAACCACCTGCTGCTGACCACCCTCTACACCCCCTAGCTGCCCCACCAACCTCCGCTTGTTATCCTGACCTTCCTGGGCCCCCCGTTCTCCATCGGCTGGCGTCACCGCGGCTACCGGCCTTCCCCCCTGGCCCCTCCCATCCACCTCCATCGCCTCCTGCTTCACCTTATCCGCCTCTTCCTCCCTGCCTCGCTTCCTCGCCATTCCTCCTTGCTGCTGCTGTTGCTGCTGCTGCTGCTGCACACCCTGGTTCGCAGCGGCATCCGTCATCACCTCATCCTTGGTTCCTGCAGGTCCTCCTCTCCGCCCAACACTCCCTGCTCCACCTGCTCCCCTGCCTGCTGCCATAGCAGCGGCACCACCGCCACCAACAGCAGGCACACCAGAATTTGGAGCAGCAGCCGCAGCGGTGGCTGGAGACGCAGCAAGAGCAGCTGCAGAGCCAGTGGTGTTGCTGGGGACTCCAGCAGCAGCAAGGGGGGTGGCTTGGGTGTTGTCAAGGTGAGAGAGAATCGCAAAGTGGCGGCAGATATTGGGGACAAGCTCTTCCTCGGGATCCTGGGGAGGGTGGGGAGAATGGGGGGCAGAGGTGTGCAGTGCAGTGCAGTGCAGTGCAGTGCAGTGCATACAAGTCAGTTCGAGAAGCAACTACAAAGCGAAAGACACACGACACAGTGTCACTCACATCACAAGTGAAACAACTTAGCATAAAAAACAGCACAGTATTTGAGCTGAGTCAATCTAGTGATTGGATACCCTCGCGAACAAGCCTCGACCTGAGTCTAGCCTGCACTTGCATTGCATGTGGCATCTCTCAGCCCCCCAGGGTGTCTCTCACCTGGAGCTCAGGTTCGGAGGAGGAAGCGATGACAGCACAGAGCAACTGCTTGAAGAGGGCACGCTCCGCTTGCAGCTGAGTCTTGGTCTTGGCACCAATGTCAACCTGTTAACGCCACAAGCAAAGGAAATCTTTGAGGCGCCTCAAAAATAGACTCCTTATGCATGGTTTACTCAGCCGAGTCTTGGTCTTGGCACCAATGTCAACCTGTTAACGCCACAAGAAAAGGAAATCAAACAGCGGGGTCAGCAAGCCAGTCCAGCCCAATCCCACCCAACCACCCACCCCTGTCGTTTTAGCAGCACAGCCAAACGGCATCAGAGCCTGGGAAGGGGATGAAACGACTCGGTGTGATTTTGGGTACAGATATATCAGCCACTCACTGGTGCTCCCACAATGTGCATGCTCCCACTGCGTGCATGCTCAAACTGTGTGCATGCTCGCCGTAGATAACCCAGCATTATGCGCCTATGACCCGGTGCAGTTGATATGGCTACTGACCTTGGGAGCAGAGGACTCCACCCGGTGCCTACTCCTATCGGCAGGTGACAGCAGCAGCGAGGCGAGCTGCTGGGAGCTGATCCCCGCCTCGCGGTCCACATTGCCGCGCAGGTTGAGCACAGACAGCAGGCACACTCGCAGGAAGCGCAGCGACTGCCGCCGCAGGTGCAGCGTGAGCGTGGGATTGGAGAAGGACGAGGGCGAGGAGGAGGAGAAGGTGCCCAGAGGGGTTGGGATGGCACCAGAGGAGGGGTGGGAGGAGGAGGAGCGAGTGGGTCCTGAGGCAGGGGAGTGAGAGGCAGAGCCGCTACCAGTGCCCTGACCACTGCTTGGGCCGCCTGCGCCCCCTGCTTGCCCTGCTTCTGACTTCACATCCCCACCCTTCCCTTCCTGCGGCTCTACCTTTGCCTGTGCGCCTCTCTGCTCCTGCTGCTGCCCCACCTGCCCCTGCCCCTGCTGCCCACCCACCGCACCTGCCCCTGGAGCAGCTGCAGACGAACCCCCCACACCACCACCCCCACCACCTGCTGCTGCAGCAGCTGCTCCTCCGCCTCCGCTCCCCACCCCACCCCCTCCTGCTGAGTTGGCTCCTGGTGCCGTGAGCGGCGGGGGGAGCGGGCCTGCCATGACAGCAGCAAAGGCGAGCTGCACGCAGCGGTCTAGAGGCACGAGAAACGACGTGCTGGGCTCAAACGTGAGGATCAGCCGCAGCCCATGCTCCGGGTTCTCCTTCGCCTCCAGCACCAACGGGTCCTTCAGCCTCCGGTTTCGCCCGCCCAGTTTCCCCAGCAGCTGCAGCGCCTTGCTGCCATAGGGGTAGGGCTTGGGGCGCAGATGCGACCAGAGGCACAGCAGCAGGTCTGGGAGCACAGGAGCCATGGCGGGTTCGAGGAAATCTGGGTTGACTGAGTCCACCCAGACCTCCAGTGTGCGCAGCCCGAGCCCTACCAGCTCTTCGGACCCCCGGAGGGCCATCAGGAGCGGCTTCATGAGGCGGGGCAAGTGGGAGAGCAGCGAGGAGAGGCGCGCGGGGAGAGAGAGACAGAGCTCTAGAAGCAGGTCGTTGAGCTGGGGGCCCGAGGGCCCGTCAAGGAGAGAGAGAATGGTGTTGGTGCAGGGGAGGAGCGAGGGCACGAACTCTCGGTACAACAGCTCGAAGCGGCCGCCAGAGAGCGCTCGGAACATCATGCGCAGCAGCTGCAGGTACGCGTGGGGGCGCTCGAGATCGGTTGCAGCTTTTAGCGAGGCGTCCATTATGGAAGATATGTGGGGTTGCAGCACACGCTCGCAGTCGTTGGGGTACTTGGCCACGGCGCCGAAGAGCAGGCGGAAGAGCTGCAGGACGAGTGCTGCCACGGGCGTGTCGGGGGTTCGCAACACGTCGAGTCGGGATGTGACGAGGAAGCTGGCGAGCACCTCAGCGAAATGGCGGCACGCCTTGTGGTTCTGAAGGAGAGCTGCGAAGACCTGTTGGGAAGGGAGGGTAAAGGGGGGGGGAGGGAGGAACAGGAGGCGGAGGGAGCAGAAAGATTTTGTCTAAAAGAAAATCTTGCTGCCTGGTACAGACGAGCACACAGAGACAAAAGAGGCAACAACAAGCACAAGCGCACACAGTTAAGAATTAATAATCCGACACCCAGCCCAGCGGCGGCGACAAGTGCCCGCCCTGCAGCAGTGCAGGCGACGCCGCGAGCGACAGCACCCACCTGCAGCAGCTGCGAGTTGTTGAGGAGGGCGTTGAAGAGCGAGGGCATGGTGAGGGAGAAGATGTCCATGAGGTCGCGCGGCTCCATGACCGTGAACACCGACGCGAAGTGCAGGAAAGTGTCGTCGTCCTCCTTCTCGCGGAACACCGCCAGGCACTGCACGCCGCTGCGCAGCATAGCACTGGCTAGTAGCACCTGGGGGAGACAGACAGGCAGGGGACGAGCGGCGTTGCATGGAGTGGAATGGGTACAGGATGGGAAGGGAGGGAGGATAGCAAAGGCAGAAGCAAATCCGCTGCCTCTTGATACACACAAGTTCTCCTGGTGCTCTTGGAAGAATATGAGTTGTGAGGGAGCAGTAAGCAGGGAGCACTATGCTCTGCAGGCGCAAGTCATTTGAACCAATCTCTAGCCAGAACTAGGGCCAACTAAGCAGGGCGGGCGTTGGGTGAGCTTAGTACGACTGATGCTTTCTGGAGCTGGCGCGCACCTCGTCCTGGCGCATGCCCTTGCTGCCTGACGGCTGCGGCGTGTTGGGCATGGCGGGGTGTGTCGGCTGCGGCGCTGCATTGGAGAAGTGTGTTATGCTCCACAGCAAAGTCTTCATGGCTGGTGGTGGGTGAGATTGGGTGGCACACAGGACGGGATGACAACGGCACAGGAGAGTGGGAGCATGAGGTGCAGGAATCAGAGCATGGGGAGGCAGGAATGAGTTACAGGGCAGGGAACGATCAGAAGACTGGGGAGGAGGCAGCCAACGGTGGCAACAGAGGATGACCGCTCTGGCACAAGGCCAGGCCGAACGCACGGGAGGAGACCAAGGGCAAGCGAAAGGACTACGGCCATAAGCGATGCTTTACTACCAGGTGCTACCAGGTGGCGAGCGTTCAGGTGGGTGGCAGCACTTACAGATTATGAGCGTGCGAATGAGCTGCTTGCAGTCCGCCACCTCCTTGGCATGGTCCATGGCCACATGGCCCGCCAGCGCACTCTGATGCACAGCACCGCACACCATCGCAAAGCACCACAGCCAGAAAAGGTGAGAAGATGTACGAGGAGGGGACTGGATGAGGAGGGGGAGGAACTAACTAACCATGACTACATCATCCAAGGTTTCAGGAGTGGAGGACTAACCATGGCAGAGAAACGAGCAAACGCACGTGACCCTGCCTTTGCAACCTTGCAAGCAATGCACACACACACATACTGACCTGCACTGGCAGTTCAAGCCGTGCTCTCAGGCTGCGGCGCTCCTCTGATGTCGCATCCTGTGCTCCCGCCTCTTCCACCAACTGCTGCCACGCGGAATCCAAACAAGAGACACGCGCACACAGAAAGTAACGAACGAGGCCAGCAGCAAGCACCGCCAAGACAGGTGAGGCAGCAATGGGAGGACCAGAGGAAATTTGTTCGGAAGGGCCAACCAAGGCTTTCATGGTGCAGCACAGGGGAACGAGTCACACACGGTGGGCGTGGCGAGAGCAGGGGGGCAGGCAGAATGGCGCGTATGCGTGCATGTATGCGTGTGCATGTGCGAGCTCACCGACTCAACGCTCTCCTTGAGCGTGCCAAAGCGGCTGACAAAGGCATCCAGAATGCGATCCTGCCACGGGCAATGCGATACGCAGCACAATGTTACTTTTGAGTCGACTCAAAAGTCACCTCGTCACAATGTCACACAACACTTTTGAGTCGACTCAAAAGTCATCCAGAATGCGATCCTGCCACGGGCAATGCGGTACGCAGCACAATCTTATGGCCCGGAGGAGGGGGGAAGGGAAGGTGAGGGCGGGTAGATAGAGTAGGCTTCCGGGCGCAGGAACATTGGCGCATGCATGCATGCCACAACGGAAGGATGCCCCTGTGTGGGAAAACGGGTTATGTCCCCATGCTGTGTCAGTGGTGCATGCTACAACGACGGATGGCAACGGCAGCGCCTAGCAGGAATACAACAAGAGCTCAGACTTCACAGAAGCCAGTTGACAGGTCACACGGGGAAGTCGGCAGGAGAAGAGCACGAGGAGGAGATGAGGAGGAGAGGGCACTGACCAGCAGCACTCGGCCATCCTCATGGGCCAAGCGGCGCTTGAAGATGGTTTCCACCTGCTCATGGCACGAGAAAATATGCACAGGGATGGCGGCGGCATGCGACGCCGGATAGCAGCATGAGACGTTGGCCAGAAAGGGGAATTAATGCTGTGCAATGCCGTAAGGAACCAGCATGATGAGAGGATCAAGGAGATGTGAGGAGGAGTGAAGCTACCGACTTGCAGTTTGGTGAATGACAAGGCAGATGAGCAAGCGAAGAGGTAGACAGTACGGGTTGGATCGATGGATGGATGGGTACAGGTGGTACTGTTGTACACACCAGGTTGAGCATGAGGCGAACGCATGTTGTCTGCACTGACAGGTGTAGCGAGGCATCGTGCACGTTGCGGGAAAACAGATACACAATGCGCGACAACTGCAAGCATTCGGGGGGATGTGGAGAGGGGAAGAGGAAGGTGGAGGAAGGGGGAGCAAGAGGGGGGGGAAGGGGGGGCGATAAAAGTACTGAGGTGGAGTGGGTCATCCTTTATGCAAGGTAGCAACTGATAAAAAAAAAAACAGGCAGTCCAAGCAAGCCATCCTTTACACGAGTACTCAGCAACGCCTCCACAACCACAACATGACCCGAGGAGGCTATTGCAATTTCGCATGGTGGTGGATGGATAGATGGCATGGCGGGCGTCTTGCCTGGATGAGGGAGAGCTCGTCCCTGAGGTGGTGGATGAGCTCTGCGAGAAGCGAGTACGCGAGGGGTCGCAGCGTGTCGTAGCACGCCCTGCCCGTGCCCACCAGCACCCTGAGAGCCCAGGAATATACAGGCAAACGAAGAAATAAACAGGAAGCAAGGTGGGATAAAGAGGTAGCAGTCGGCGGTAGGCAGGGGGAATGAGGCGGCTGGCAAGGGAATGGCTTTTGTCAAGGAGGGTGCTGGTGGTGAAGGCAACAAGAGATTTCTCAAGTGCCGATAGACAGAGAGCAGCGTCAACGACGGGAGCACGGGGAGCATGGAATGTGCAGGCTTGGTGGGGTTGGGAGCATCGTGGAAAGAGCACAGAGTAGAGCAGAGCAGCGCAGAGCAGCACCTTTCGTCGAGCAGCGTGTCCAGCTGAGGGAAGAAGCCTCTCTTGAAGTCCGTGGCCAGCACATGGCGCGTTGCCACCAGCAACTCCTGCCAGGGGAGGGTGAGGAGCGGGATGTGGGGGATGGATGGAAGAGAGTAGTGGTCATGGTAAAGGCGAGAGGGCAGCATAGAGTGCAGAGGTGAGGCACTCACCCATGAGAGGGAGACTAGCGGATGCAAGCACATGGGCAAGGGCACTCCAGCAGGCACAGCACCATGCACTGGAAAGAACGACGCACATGCAGACCAAGTGCATACCCCGGGGGAGGGGGGCAGGGGGGAGGAGGGTGGGGGGGAGGGGGGGGGGGGTCGTTTTGCATGTAGCAGCAGGAGGCAGCAAGGAGGACAGGGAGGACGCACCTTGCGTGTGGCAACGACGTCAGGGCATGTGAGGAGGAGGTTGACGATGCTCTTGGCAATGTTGGCCTCGTGCGGGCGGATGATGTCCGCATAGCCCCTCAGCAGGTACGTCAGGAACGACACCGTCTGGACCAGCAGTGGGGGCGAGCGAGGGAGAGGAAGGAGAGAGAAAGGGGAGAATGGGAGTAGGTGCTGAGGGAGGGACAGAAGAAAACAAAGCTATGCCTAGGAGGAGTGCAGAGAACGCACGAGGAGACCACAGGCCAGAAAACATACACAGCTAGATCTGGAAAAGAAACAAAACAAAACAAAGCAGCAGAACAGGAAAAACAAAGGGGAAAGGAAACAGAAACGAGATAGGGAGACGTTGCTGGCTGGCTGGCACGGCCTGCCATGCACACACACACACACACACACACACACACACACACACGCACACACACACACACACACACACACACACACACACAGCTAGCACACCACACCTACACACCTTGATCTGGGCTGCCTTGAGGTCAGCATAAGCAGCCTTGAGGCGTGCGGGCACGTGGTGGTGCGGCGAGGGCCCCACAATGGCGATGCACTGCATCATGAGCGGCAGCAGCACGGGGATGTTGTGCGCCGCGTACCGCAGGTACAGCTGGAACAGAAACATCACGATCAGCGGACACTCCGTCACCACCCGGAACGACCGCGTGGACGGGTTCAGCTGACTAGGCACTGCCAGGCCCGCACCCCCACCCCCACCACCGCCAACACCAACTCCCCCCGGCCCTCCCCCGAGTCCCCCACCAGCACCCGCCCCACCCAACCCCCTCCCCCACCCCCCCGCCATCCCCCATCCCGGCTGCTCGGCGCATCTGGTCCCCGCCGCCGCCCTCATCAAAGAAGAAGCTGACGGTAGCAGGGAAGGCCTGGTAGATCTTGCAGACGAAGTCCAGAAACGGCTGCACGTCGTGCTCGAGCTTGGGGCGGAAGTTCTTGTGCAGGTCGAAGATGATCCGCAGCGCCACCATGGCGTTGTCCTCGTTGTCCGTGGCTAGGACGGACAGCGCCAGGCGCAGCAGCTCGGGCACGTACGGCTGCAGCGCCTCGCTGTGCGGCAGGCGGTTCAGCACCTCGAGCACCACATTGCGGAACTTGTGCTCCAGGTTGTCCACCAACTGCGGGAAAGGGGAGGGGAGGAGAAGGGCGGGGGAGGAGGGTTGGAGAGAGTGAGAGGGTAGAGTGGGGAACGGGGAACTGGGAGGGGGGGAAGAAACGGAGGATTCGAGGAAAGAGCGAGCGGAAGCGATAATCGGGAAAGCAGACGACATGGTGTCCGAAACTGGCCTGGGCCCGACAAGCATTACGTGGTCAGGGCTAGGTAACACAAATGGAGCGAGTGCTCAGAGCGCAGTGCGCGGAGCGGCGGAGTGCGGAGCGCGGAGAGGTACCTGGGGGCCGGTGAGCTGGCGGAGGACGGCGACGAAGACGTGGAAGTAGGCGCGGAGGAAGTTGCCGTACTCCGCCGTGTGCGCGATCTCGATGCTGTCGCGCACCTCCGTCGCCAGCTGCAGCCGCTGCAACGGCGCTGCGGTGACCATGGACGCACAGATGAAGGCGGGATGCGAACACGGTGAGAGAACGGTGAGAGCGGGGTGCGAGCGGGATGCGAGCGGGATTTGAGCGGGGTGCGAGCGGGGTGCGAGCGGGGTGCGAGCGGGGTGCGAGCGGGATTTGAGCGGGGTGCGAGCGGGGTGCGAGCGGGATTTGAGCGGGGTAAGAGAGGGGTATGAGCATGGTGAGAGCGGGGTGAGAATGGGGAGACGTTGAGCGGGACAATCTTGCCAGGGCATTCAAGAAACACTGTCGAGACTGGAGGCTGACGAGACCCAAGCAGGAGAGCCCGAGATCCTGAACTCGAGCATGAGAATAAGATTCTCTGGATAGCGATGACGACAATATTCTGACTGACGGGAGCGGCGAGTATGAGCGTCAGGGAAACGACAAGCATGAGCGTCTGGTGCTCCATATCTAACGCATCGAGCACCGTAGCCACGCCGTGCCGACATTACAGCGGTTCTAGTGAGATTTTACAGCGACCGGTATATAGGTGGGGTTGGTATATAAGGTGGCAGACGTACTTTGATCCGGATCGAGAAACCGCCTCGCATGCTGATCGAAGTCGGAAATGGGAATCATGGTCGAAGCTGTCGCTTCCAGTTCCCACTATCGTCAATCAAGGCTACGAACACCAAATCATCGAAACGAAACGCTCCGGTAAAATCGCATCCAGTGACAGAGGAAAGCTACGAATAGGTAGGTCTATCGAAAATCGAGCATCGCGGAAGTATGTCGAGCGGAACCCTGGAGGTGCAGGGCAGGACGACCGCAATGAATAGGAGACGAGTATAGGGAAGGCGAGGCTCGAGTGACGAATGAAGGAATGAAGGCTTTCGTGACGAGGAAGCAAAGCGAGGCGGTCAGCCACAGCCCAACTCAACCCTATTTCGCCTCGCAGCACACTTCTCTTGCTCGGCTTGTAACAGAAATTTAATGGCAAAAGTATAGTTTTGATATTATATGCCTCACACATACATCCTTCAAATTTAGGACCACTTGTGGTATTGACTTCCTTCCATGGTGAGTTTAATCCCATCGCTGAGTTATGGTGAATGTCATCTGAGCTCAGTAGGTCCGCATCATACGCATCAAGGTTTGTCAAGGTGGAGCCGATGCATGCATGGCCCGCCGTCATAACAATACCTAGCAATGAGATCTACATTGGTAGTCGTTATCTACAAACATTTCTTCAAGGCCATGTATCGCTTAGTAAGCACCTACGAACCATGCTCATTCTTTAGATTCCTTTCCTTAGCATGTTCCTTGCAGCTCATCAGGCTTCCACACTTCAACTGAAGCTCCATCTAATGCGTGCTCCAAGGATTCAATCAGAACCTCCTTTCGTGCTTCTGAGGAAGTATCGCCTGGTGCACTGCTTGTTGCTGATGTGAGCAGGTGGCGTATAATCGGGATCTGCCTCGTCGTCGCTCTCCGCTGTGTCACACGACGCCAGCAAATCAGCCACACTCTCGTGTGATTGCCTAGCTGCTGATCGGGGGGGTTCACAGTATCACACGGGAAGGGAAGGGATGGGAGGAAGCACGAATAGAATAGAGAACGAATGCAACCGGCAAAATTCCCCACCATTTGCTCAAAGCATCATGACTTCAACTATAGTACGCAGCCATGCCATGTCACCGTGTGCCAAACCTGAGCCAGAGGCGGCAGCTGCTTGCAGCCTGGTCCTCTGCCGTGCCAAGCTCCTCTCCACAACCTGCCGTGCCATTGCCCGGGTTCTTGCCCTCTCTCCCCTCCCACCATCCCCTTCACTGCACCTTCGACTGCCCCACTGCTGCTGGTGCCCCTCCCCCTCTTCCCCAAGCCCACTCTGCCACCCCTCACCCCCTGAACCCCTTGCCGCCTGTCTGTCCGGCTGTAGCTCTGGCAGCTTGTCCTCGTTATCCACTGGCCCGCCCCACATCCGGCCTGCCACTCCTGCCTCCTCTGCCTCTATGGGCCCTACCTCCCCCTGCCCCTCGCACTCCCTGTCGTCCTCGTCCAGAGCCATGCACTGAGGAGGGGCCAGGCAGGTGCCCTGGCTGTTCGGGCTGGCTGTGGCGAGGTGGGTGCGAGTGGAGTGAGGGAGGGAGGAGCTGTGAGGGAGAGGGTGGTGAGGAGTGGCGCAGGAGCAATGTGGGTGGAAGTTAGAGGGGGAGCAGGCAGTGGCAGCAGCGGCAAGGCCCGCATCTGCTGCGTGTGGTGCGTGTGCTGGTGTGAAGTGGGGGGCGGTTGAGAATGGGGTGTGGTTGTAGGTGGAGGCAGGGATGGAGGCTGAGTGAGGCGGATGTGATGATGAGGACGAAAATCGCCTGTGAGAGAGCAAGGAGGGATATACACAGAAGGAAAAAAACAAAAACAGCACTCAGACAGAGGAGCTGAGAAGAGGATGGCAGGAAGGGGTAGAGGAAGAGTGTATCTGAGTACGTGTGCGTGAAAGTGAGTGAGAGGTGAGCCAGGCAAGAAAGCGCGGAAGAAACGATGGCAAGCGCAAAGCTATTGAGAGGGAAGAGCGGAGAGTTAGGAAACATCACGTTCTTACAAGGGGAAGAAGGGCGCAAGGCAGAGGGCGAGCAGTGCCGCTGTAGCCAGCAGCCCGCGCACCACACTGAGTGTGGGGCCTTGAGACATGGGGACGGAGGAGAGGGCTGATAGCAGACCGAGCTCCAGCAGCAGCCCTGTGAGCACAACTGGAGCACAGAGACACGGGCAGGGAGAGAGGGGTCGGAGAAGGAAGGGGGTTGGGTACGACAGTCTGGCGACGATGCAGGGGGCAATGGGATGGATGAGGTGTGGCAGAAGGGGAAGGCGGCAAGAAGAGGAGGACGGAGAAAAGCAGGTGGAACAACAGACGAGGGGGGCAAGAGAGGATGGGAAAGGAACTGACGTGAGAGGAGGGGCCGCCTGGCGCAGGAGGTGAGGCTGGAGCAGGTGAGCAGCAGGGAGAGAGGTGCGAGGAGGAGGTAGAGGAGGAAGGTGGATATGGTGGAGGCGTAGCTCCGGATGGCGGTGAAGAGAGAGGCGAACTGCTCCAGTGCCCGCATCATGCTGCCTTGCTTCCGAGACAGGTCGTTCTGCAGATGTACACACACAAGCACACACACACACACACACACACGTGCAGAGGTGAAGGGACGAATATCAGAGTGGTGTTACTTTGACGGTTGGCTCATAAACACAACCACGACTACTCACTGTTCCTTATCCATGCATAAATGACCCACCCAGCATCACCCTGCACCCGTTCCCCCCCCCCACAAACTCACCTGCACAGCCAGTATCCTCTCTGCATTCCCCAGCAGCTGCTCCTGAGTGGCCTCCATGCGTTCGTTCCACGTGGCAAGCACCTTGTGCTGCCGCTCCGCCTCCACAGCCACCGCGCTCAGCCGCCCGGCCACCTGCTGCTGCACCGCCAGCAGCACCTGCTGCTCCTCCGACATGCGCGCCTGCCACCGCTGCGAGCTCATATGGTACGCCACTGTACGCGCTGCCAGCTCGCCCATCACCTCGTTCTGCCGCTCAGCCACTGTCGCCTGTTCCACTGCGATCCGTTTCATATCCCCTGCTGCTTGCCTCTGCCCCGCTAGCAGCTCCTCCTGTAGCTGCGCCATCTCCTCTTGCCATTTCCCCGTGCTGCGCTGCTCTGCGGTGGCCATTTCTGACAGCTCCTGCAGGACTCGCCTGTGCTGGTCCAGCGCCGCTGCCTGCTGCTGCCGGATCACCTCCATCTGCTGCGCCGCCGCTGCCTGCTCCGCTGCAGCCGCCTGCTGCTGCTGCAGCGACTGCTGCAGGGCAGCATCGACAGCATGCACCTGGTCCTCCAGGTGGCGCACTCCCTGAGTTATCTCGGCCGCCATGGCTGCTTGCTGCCCTGTGAGGCTCTCCAGCACTGCCTGTGCGTGGTGGGCGGATTCGGAGAGGGCCGCCACCTGCTGCTGCACTGCGCCTTGTTCCTCTGCTATGCGCTGCTGCAGGTGCAGAGAGGCCTGTGCGGCGGCTTGCATGTCCTCGGCGCTCCCTGAGAGATCCCCCAGCTGCTCCTCCAGCCAGTGCGCCGTGCGCTGAAGGGAGAACGCGGGGAGTGGACGGAGGAAGGGCAAATGGTGGACTTGGCGGAAGGGGAGAGAAGGAGAACGAAGCATAGAGGGCGGCTGGAAGGAGGGAAGGGGAGGTCAGGTCAGTTAACAGTGAAAAAAGGGAAGGGAAAGGGAATGGAAGACGGCGTTCGTGCAAGGTATATGGCACTGGGGAGTAGGCGCTGACCTTGAGGGAGTTGACGGACGTCTCGACCTCGTTCTTGAACACCTCGCTCCTGCAACAAGCATCGTTATATAAGCAGACCCGGACGTCGAGGCACGCTCATGAGAGATTGGGAACTAGGGCCTTCTGAAACGTCCCCAAAACTCATTGGCGTGGTAACCATCATTGCCAGAATCGCACGCGCGCACGTCACATTTCAAATTAGTTTTGAGACGTCTCAAAAACCAAACAGCGTCGCATTCAGTCCAGGCCCGGGCGACTCACTGCAGGAAGTGGCACATGTTGGGCGCGTCGATGAAGAACGCCAGGAACACCGAGTGCTCATGATCGCTCATGCTCTTGATGCAATTCTCCTCCTCCACCCCCGCTTCCCGCTTCTCCCTCCCTTCCGCTCGCCCCTGCATGTACACCTGCAGGCCGCTGCCTCTGCTGTTGCTGCTGGAGCGGCAGTCGACAGGAGCGCGGCCGGAAGAAGCTAAGAAGCAGTTGGTGAGTCTAAGCGCGAGCTGCGCCTTCCACGCCTCGTTACGGAGCACCTCTTTACAAGACCCCATCAGCTGCTGGTACGCCGTCACCCAGCAGTTATCCTCCTCCGCAGTTTTCCCCGACTCGTACGCCTCCACGCTGCCGTCCGCGCGTCGTTCCCCTCTGCTCACCGCGCTCCCCGCGCGCTCCTGCAGCTCGCGTCCCTTCCGCTCGCCGCTTCTCGCGGTGATGCTCAGGCTCTCCGCGTCGAACGGTGCGACTGGGTTTCGTTCCGATGTCCCCCCACGTGCTGTCGCCTCCTGCTCTTTGCCTGCATCTGCTCGCTCGTCCCCGCTTTGTCGTCGTGTGCCTTCGCCTGAGGGTGATGACGGCTGTGCGACTGAATGCGACGAAGGTGCAGGCGGAGAAGGCGAGCGAAGAGTCGAGGAGAACCAGGAAAAGGAGTGCGTGGGCTTAGACAGTAAAAGGAAGAGGAAGGCGAGGAGGAACGGCCAGGAAGGTAGCCGTGATATCGTTACCCTCGCCATCACAACACCAGCTAGAAATAACGACGTGAAATGCTTATGGTTAATGTGTATATGAGAATCGTCTAAGGCTAGTCTGGAGTCTCAACCTTGATAATGCCGTAGTCGCAGGCAGCGTGTCGCCGACAGTTGTCGGCTGTATCATCGCTTGTCCCGACCAGCCGAAAACTTCGGGGTCCCTCCATTAGATACTCGAGGGAGGGACAAAAGTGGGCTTCCCTCAAAAGCCGCCATTGGGAATGACATACGGTACGCGATGCAGCATCCACCACAACACTCTCGACGTTTCCTAATGTAAGATTCGCTTTCATAAAATAACCAAACAAACCCCATTATCAAATTCTATTATATAGAGGTGCGTGATATATTTTCTTTTGAATCACAAAACTGGTATACGAAAAAATATATTGGTTCATTCGCGTTTCTCATTGATTTTAGGCTAAAGCCTTTCAAGGTGTTCTATGTCAAACATGTGTAGTTATCATGTTTGTATAGACTGTATAGGGTCACCTTCTAGAGAGTACAACATTTAGGTATATGTTTGTGTACTCTCTCTCTCACATTATTCAATTCTAGGTTTGATATGGTATCACGAGTAGGTTTCGACCCCCCCCCCCCCCCCCCCCCCCCACCTACCGCTTCCGCTTCTCCCGTCGCGTCTCCTAGCCTCGCCTCGCCCCTCCTGAGCCCAGTCGCGACCCCTCCCCCTAGCCCCGTCGCGCCCCTTCCAGGGAATCGTAGCGCCCCTCCAGGCCCCGTCGCGCCCCCCCCTTCCAGGGCTTCGTAACGCCCCTCCAGGCCCCCGTCGCGCCCCTCCAGGGCTCTGTAGCGCCCCTCCAGGGCCCCGTCGCGCCCCCTAGCGCCCCTCCTGGGCCCCGTAGCGCCCCTCCAGGGCCCCGTCGCGCCCCTTCGCGCCCCTCCTGGGCCCCGTAGCGCCCCTCCAGGGCCCCGTCGCGCCCCTTAGCGCCCCTCCTGGGCCCCGTCGCGCTCCTCACAGGCCCCGTAGCGCCCCGTAGCGCCCCTCCTGGGCCTCGTCGCGCCCCTCCTGGGCTTCGTAGCGCCCCTCCTGGGCTTCGTAACGCCCCTCTCAGGCCCCGTCGCGCCCCTCCTGGGCTCCGTAGCGCCCCTACTGGGACCCGTCGCGCCCTCCCTGGGCCCTGTAGCGCCCCTCCTGGGCCCCGTCGTGCCCCTCCAAGGCCCCGTCGCGCCCCTCCTAGGCCCGTAGTGCCCCTCCTGGGCCCGTAGCGCCCCTCCTGGGCCCCCCATTGCGCCCCTCCTGGGCCCCGCCGCGCCCCTCCTGGGCCCCCATTGCGCCCCTCCTGGGCCCGTAGCGCCCCTCCTGGGCCTGTTGCGCCCCTCCTGGGCCCTGCCGCGCTCCTCCCTGGGCCCCGTATCCACCCTCCTGGGCCCCGTCGCCCCTGCTCGGCCCCGTCGCCCCAGCTCGGCCCTGTCGCGGCCTCTCGGCCCCGTGGCGCCCGCCCTGCCCCTGTCGCAGCTGCCCGGCCCCTGTCGCACCTGCCCGGCCCCGTCGCGCCCGCCCGGCCCCGTCGCCCCGCCCGGCCCTGCTGTGTCCTGCCCGGCCCCGTCGCTGCCGCCCGGCCCTGTCGCTGCCGCCCGGCCTCGTAGCTGCCGCCCGGCCCTGTCGCTGCCGCCCGGCCTCGTAGCTGCCGCCCGGCCTTGTCGCTGCCGCCCGGCCCCGTCGCAGCCGCCCGGCCCCGTCGCAGCCGCCCGGCCCCGTCGCAGCCGCCCGGCCTCGTCGCTGCCGCCCGGCCCCGTCGCAGCCGCCCGGCCCCTCGTCGCGCCTGCCCGGCCCCGTCGCGCCTGCCCCGGCCCTCCATACTTCCTGGTACTGTCCCCCGTTCCCCGCACCACTTTGCACCCTCCTGCACTTTCCTGCCCCGCCTTGCACCGCATTGCACCTCACTGAACCGCACTGCCCGCACTGCACCGCACTGAACCGCACTGCACCGCACTGCATCGCACTGCACCGCACTGGACCGCACTGCACCGCCCTGCACCGCACTGCACAGCACTACACCGCACTCCACTGTCCTCCACTGCCCCTCATGGCTGCTGAGCTTCGTTTTGATGCTGAGGGTCAGCCTCTGGAGTTCGAGGCGTGGTTGGCTGACCTTCGCCGCCACCTCACTGGTCAGCGGCAGGACGGCCACCCGCTTTCTGCACACCTAGACGGTATGCTCCCCTGCCCTGACCCCCCTGCTGTGCTGCCTGCTGATCCCACGCCCGCTGAGCGCGAGTCCACTGCCGCCGCTGCCCTTGCCCGCTCTGTCTGGCTTTCCCGCGATGCCCTTGCTCAGCTCGCCATTAGCAATGCCCTCCCCCCCTTGAGCGCCCTCGCTTTAGAACCATTACTACCGCCCAGGCCTACCTCGATGCTGTCATCAAGCGCTATTCTACCCCTCCTGCTGCCTCAGTGGGTCGCCTGATCCTCCCCCTGCTCTTTCCTGACCTGGCGTCCTTCCCCACTGTCTCTGACCTCGCTGCCCACCTGCGCTCGATAGATGAGGCCTGGCGCGCTGCCTGCACTGATGCACAGCTTAGAGTCCACCAGCCTCCCATGACCTCTACCCTCTACCTCCTTGCCACCCGCCTCCCTGACCGCCTTGCCGCCGCCCGCGACCAGTTCCTTAGCATCCACCCTGCTGCTCTCACCCTCACCGACTTTGTTGACACCCTGACTGCCATAGAGACTCGTCACCGCTCCATAGCCCAGGCGAGCGGTACAGTACCGGTCCCTATCTTTCAGGGTTGTGCCCCCGCTCAGTGTACCTTCTCCGACGGCTCTGTCGCTGTGGCTGAGACTGCTGCTGCAGTGCAGTCCCGCTCGGGGAAGGGCCGCCGCCCCAAGGTTGGGAGCGGCGGAGGTGGCGGGGGTGCGGGTGGGGGTAGTGGTGGAGGCGGGTCGTCCGGTGCCGGTGCGGACGTGGGGACCCTGCCCGGTCCAGCTGCCCCGCTGCCTCCACCGTTGCAGCAGCCGCAGCAGCAGCAGCCTCCGCAGCAGCCGCAGCAGCCGCCGCAGACGAGGCCGGCGAGTGCTCTCCCGCCTGGGTGGCCTGGAGCTGGTGGTGGTCGTGCGCGTGGTGGTGCACCGGGTGGTGGTTCTGGAGGCGGGCCCTGTCAGTACCAGATCCAGACCGGTCCTCGCCGCGGCTTCGTTTGCGGTAAGATCGGTCATTCCACTCCTCGCTGTTTTCGTCGTCTGGACGACCTGTTCCGCCAGCGCTTTGGCCCGGCGCCCGACCTCCCGGACTGGCACAGCTTGCTTAGGCGTAGCATTCGGATTTTTGACTTGGACATGGATGCCATTGTAGCAGCCTTGCATGTGATGTATGCCGATGACTCTAGTGTGCTTCCCTCTTATTACCCCGTGTTGCCTAGTGTAGCTGTGCCTAGCGTAGACTCCCCTGCTGCGTCAGGCGTAGGATCTCCTGCTTTGCTTAGCCTCGGTGCTTCCACCGCTTCACTGTCGCCCCGCGCGACTGCTGCGCTTTCCTTCACCTTGGACTCTGGCGCCTCCCGGTGTTTCTTCCGCGACTCCACGACGCTGACGCCGCTGCCTGTTCCTGCTGCAGTTACTCTTGCTGACCCCTCCGGTGGTCCCGTCTTTGCCCGCAGTTCCACCTCCCTTCCCTGTCCGGCGGTTCTTTCAGGTTCGCTCACCGGTCTGCATATCCCCTCGTTCTCCAGGAACCTAGTTGGTGTCGGCTGCCTCCAGGACCTTGGCGTCACCACTACGTTCCCTGGTCACGAGCGGTATGCTGTCTGTACCGAGGCCGCCACTGGTGCCCCCCTTACCACTTTCCCCCGGGACCCGGTGTCCGGCCTGTTCACACTTGACACCGCGACGTCCCCGGCTGGGTCTTCCCCCCAGGTAGCTGCGTCCACCCAGGTTGCTGCTGCGTGCTCCTGTCGGTCCCTCACTCATCCGACTCTCCTTTGGCACCACCGCCTTGGTCACCCTGCACTCCCGCGTCTGCGTCACATGTCCCAGCACGGTCTCGTCCTTGGTCTCCCCGGTTCGTTCCTTGAGTTTCCCTCATCCCCCGCCCCACCGTGCACGCCTTGTGTCGAGGGCCGGCTCCGCCGTGCCCCTCACTCCTCCTCTTTTCCCCCTACCACCGCACCCCTGCAGACTCTGCACATGGACGTCTGGGGCCCAGCCCCGGTCCATGGGCCGCGTCGCGAGCGCTTCTTCCTAGTGCTTGTCGACGACTTCACACGTTACACCACCGTCTTTCCCCTGGAGCGGAAGGCCGACGTGCCTGACGTTCTCATCCCCTTGCTTGTCTCTGCTCGTCTCCACCGCGGTCTCCCTGCCTTGCGCCTCCACTCCGACCGGGGTGGCGAGTTCGCCTCAGGTGTCCTTGGTCGCTTCTGTCGTGCGGAGGGCATCACCCAGACGTTTACCCTGCCGGACTCCCCGCAGCAGAATGGGGTCGCTGAGCGACGCATCGGTTTGGTCATGGAGGTGGCTCGCACCTCCATGATCCACGCCGGTGCACCCCATTTTCTGTGGCCGTTCGCCGTGCGCTACGCCGCTCACCAGCTTAACCTGTGGCCGCACCCCCAGCGGCCGCAGGTTTCGCCGACCCTTCTGTGGACCGGGTCCCCTGGTGACGCGTCTGCGTTCCACGTCTGGGGCTGCCTTGCTCACGTTCGTGCCTCTGGCACGGACAAGCTCACTGCCCGCACCCTCCCCTGCGTCTTCCTCGGTTTCCCCCTTGACGCGTCCGACTGGCACTTCTACCACCCGCCGTCTCACCGTTTCTTTCACTCTCGCGACGTCACCTTTGACGAGTCCGTCTCCTTCTTCCGTCGCTTTCCCCACCGTGGTCCCCCGGTTACTCCCCCCCTGTTCCTGGTTCCTCCCTCCCTGGTGGCCCCTGCCCCTCCCCCCCCCCGCCCCCCCGTCCGGCCCCCTCTGGTGTGTCTCACGTCACCCCCCTCCCGTCGGTCGTTCCGGTCGACGAGTCTTCTGACTCTGGTAGTCCTTTGGCGCAGTCCTCGCCGTCTGTCCCTCCCCCGGTGTCTCCTCCTCCACCGCCTCCGCAGCCGCCGTCGCCGCAGCTGCTGCAGCCGTCGTCTCCGCCGCCGCCGCCGTCGAGGCCGTCGCTGCAGCCGCCGCCGCCGCCGCCGCCGTCGTCGCTGCCGCTGTTTGTACACTCT